ATATTATTTTTTCGTTCTATTTATATTATATTTATATTGTACTTTCCTAATGTCCATTTTGTGTTTATATTATATATATATGTTATATTTATATTATATTGATGTTATATTTTTTATATATTATATTATTTATATATATTATATTATATTTATATTATATTATATTTATTATATTATATTATATTTATTATATTATGTAGTATTATTATTTATAATATAATATATTATATTATTTTATATATTATACATTACATTTCATTATTTTATGTATTACATTATATTATGATATATATTTTATTACTTTATATATATTATTTTATATATTATATTACTTTATAAATATTGTTTTATGTATGACATCGTATTATTATTATATTATAACACTTTTTATATTATACTACTTTTTTTATATGGTATAATATAATATACCATACCATATAATATATATTATTTTATATTATATTATAAGATTTTATTATATTATATTATATTATATATTATATTGTATATTATATTGTAAATTATATTATATTGTATATTATATTATATTTATATTATATTATATTATTATATATTATATTATATTATATTATATTATATTATATTATATTATATTATATTATATTATATTATATTATATTATATTATATTATATTATATTATATTATATTATGTCATATAGTTTTTTTTTAAATCTAATGTTATATAATTAATGTTATTTTAAATGTTTTTATCCAATTTAGTTGATACTACAAAATATAAAAGGAAAATCAAAAAATGATTTCTGAAGATGAGAATAGTGCGCGTAATTCGCCTAGACCTAAACGTGCATCAATGGTTTCCGATGCAAGCGCCTCATCACCACCTGCACCTTCTCATCGAAAGAAAAATATTCCTCTTGAGCATGGATGCGAAGATAATTGGACATGGAGCAAACGACACCGTTCAAAAGAAGTTGTTTTAAGTGGTCCAAATAATAGAACAGTTTTCTTTCATCCCAATTGGAGTAAGGGTACCGCAGGTGTGCAAGGTAAACGTCCACTTAATAATGGACGCTTTTATTGGGAACTGCATGTGTCACGACGTGTCTTTGGCACAAGCATTATGTTTGGTATTGGAACAAAAAGTTGTCGTTTACATGCTAGTTCTTTTCGTAATATGCTCGGAGAGAACGAACACGGTTGGGGCTTATCTCACAAAGGCGTCCTATGGCATAAAGGAGTAGCTTTGCTTTATACAAAACGATTTAAAGAGAACCATGCGACAGTGATTGGTGTACTTTTTGATGGTATTGAAGGCACATTGACATACTATAAAGACGGTAAATGCTTGGGAGTGGCTTTTCGAGGATTAGATAAGGTACAAATTAACATTCCATAAAAAATGTGATCAATTTATCAAAAATCATTTCATTAACTGTTTTAGATTAAGGAACCGCTTTATCCTATCGTTTGTTCTACAGCAGCAAAAACTGAAATGACTCTGAAATGTGCTCGGCGCGATTTTGTTAATTTGCAAGATCGCTGTCGAGCTGAAGTAATAAAACATATTAAAAGTCGAGAAGATTTGCCCGAACTTAAATTACCTTCAATTATTACAGCTTATTTAAGTGAGGCATTCAATGACGCGGCACCTTTAAGGCAGGTAGATAATTACGATATTTTATGCGATTTTTAAACATTTCTAAGTATAAAAAATTAAAATTGTATATATCAATTAGGCAAATATATAGCATAAAACTTATTATGAAGACTAGAGAAAAAATCAAGCCCTATCTGCTATTTGGTTATTCACAATAAACTGTAAGATAAGGTTTGATAGACAACTTTTATTGAGGTCTCTAATGCCTATCAAAAACCGGCAACTAATTTCTTTCGCTCAGCTATTCAAAAAATAATTTTTTTTTTAAATCAAAATTAATTTCAAAGTTAACACTTGACTCATGATTTATTCGCAAAATTTTATATGAAAATTTTTTATATGGTTTATTTTGGATGTGGAAGAGCTTAAAGCTCTCATTCTCGCATTTATTTAAATGTATGTCTATTTCAATTTATTATATGTGTGCGAATGATGATACATTGTTGTAGATCGAACGGCAATTAAATTTCAAAATTGTGGGAATTTTTTCATCTCATACAAATTATTTATGATATCAATGAAGGCATTACTTATGCAAGTAGCCAATGGATGGTTTGTGTAGGATTTGTTAGTGTCATCATTGTACAAAGTGAACTATCTTATACCTCAATATCTCGAGAACTAATTTATATTGGCATATAGTATAGAGCCGTTTAGACTTTACTTAAATACGTTGTCAAATTGAGGCACCTCAGATATTGAATCTTGCCGCAAATATAATAGAAATTGAAAAGTTTTATTACTTTTATTTTTTTTTAATACTAAACTTAAGCACCAAAGCCTCCAACTAAAGCTATTGTTTTTGTGATAGTATCTCTTACAAAAAAATCACTATCACAAAAACGATCTATAGGAACTTACATATATTAGTTGGATTGTAACTTGATGTGCCTAACTCTAAAGAACTTCCTTTTATTTTGTTTTATTCTGGAGTTGGTTATAGAAAAACATTTACTCCCTTATGTGGACGAGTTTATAGTAATTTCGCTATCTAATACCAAAACTGATTTAAACTTTTAATTCTTTAAAAAGAACTTTTTTTTTGAATTTTTTTTCCCTAATCCTAATCCTCATATATGAGTCGTCCTTATCGTCTTTAATGCAAATCCTGTAAAGAACTTGAAAAGATTTTTACCACAGTGATTTTACACTTAAAAACTATTTAAACCATATAATTATTTATAATTTATTTTGAATATTAATTATTTTGATATGTTTATATTTAAACATATTAAAATTAATGAGTCATTTTTGTATGTGTGCTTTATACATACATATGTATTTCTTTATAAGATAAATTTTCTAAAAAACGTTGCATAAATTTCGGGTTATAAAATAGAAAAACATGTTAGTGGACGAAGACTTTTTATGCTTTAAGACTTTGAGATATATATTCATATTTATAAACTATATATGTGTGTGAATAATGTATGTTTTTAAGAAAAAATTGTAATTCTTGTTATAATTTACAAATTATTAAAATATATTAAAGTTTCCTTGTACTGAAAACAGGAAAATACGATAAAATATGGTAAAAAGTTCTCTGATAACCATTTAATAGTGTTTAACACAAAGGTTGATCAGACTACTGTTACGTATGTATATAATCAAATATTTATCTACACATTTTTAGTGATGACGTTATTGAAAGAGATAAGCTTCTCTAGAAATGTCCTTTCAGTACAGTCCATTGCTAACCAATATAAAAAAAAACTACGTCTTTTTATTCAAACTAGTCACTGATGTCATTAGAAATTAAGTCTAGTCTTAAGCTTCTAACTAAAGATGTAAAAGAATTGCATTTATATGTCATATATGTATGTATGTATGTCGTTTGTAAAAGTTATCTGTGTATACTTAACATTAAAATCTAAAATAATTTTTTTTTATTATTGTTGTGCTTAATAATTGAATTACAAATGAATTCACTTATATACTCATATTGTCTGCTACAAAGTTTTTAACTATAATGATATAATGATATAATGTTTATTCGCATTAGTTAGTATAAATAATACTAGGTAATTATTAAATTGAAAGAGGCCAGTTTGGTGCAATATTGTGATATGTAAGTAAATGTAAATACCCGTATTCGTATTTTGGAAAAAGTCGAACGACACAATTGCGCTCTAATGATCACGATTGCTACTACATTTTTAAACTTAAGTAATTGTTTTCATTAAAAATTCTACAAAATCTTGCATAAATGTGTTATTTAATATTTATAAGCAGTTCAGCGTATATATATATATATATGTATAGATATATATGAAAGTTTTGAAAGTAAAATTTTCCCACGGACATTTACACGTAGCACATCTGCTGTAAAATTTGTATTTGTATTAAATTAAAAATTTGTTCATACCAGCTAAATGGACTATTTTTCATTGAATATGATCTAGTTTAATAAAACACAATGGAAAAATAATAAATAATTCTAGTATATATATTCTTTTTGTATATAATAATATGATAATAATTATAATATTTAATAAAAGATATGAGTGAATCTAGTCATGAAACTTCTACAGAAAAAAAAACTCAAATTACATTCATAGAAATGTAACAAAACAATTATAAATGTAATGTAAAAGTAGTATTTACGTAAATTCTTAAAAAAAAAATAAAAAAAATAATTATATGTACTTTAACCTGGATGTAATAAATATTATTGAGAAAATTATTTATTAATAAATTTACTTTATTTTGATTTGAATTGATAGCGAATCCACGATATACTAAATTAATCAGACATCGAAAATATTTTCACTATATAGCCCAAGGCTCATCTCAAGTAGGATGTTTTTATCTTTTTTGTAATATTTATTTTTTTTTTCTAATTTTTTTTTATGTTAATTTTTTTATACTATGTTCAGGAAATTTGGCTGATTTCCTAAATTTCGTAAAAATGAAATTAAGTTAACTTCGAAAGTATTCATACTGCTACAAATCAAGGAAATCATATGTTTTTGTTTACAAATCAAATGATAAAAATTACATTCTCTAAACACCATTTTCCAAATTTAAGGTGTGTCTGAACATAGTATTAGGATTGTTATTTTGAAACACTGAAATATCTCTTTGTATACATCATTGGGTGTGCGCATGCTCGTACTTGTAGTGGTTTGAAGAAATGCATTTGATCAATATCAAGTTATATCAATGATCCTAAAGTTCCATTTAATTTTGAACTGATTAATTTGATCAGTATCAATTTTGAATTTTCTGATCATGTGTCTGACTATATATAGTGCTGACATAAAGCTAAACTCACATATAGGCCCATACCATTCTGCCTATTGGGAGGATGTAATTTCTTTTTATCTATTCAGAAAGAAAAGAGAAAACAAATAAAGCTATACTGGGATCATTTACCCGATCATAATTAAAATCACTTAAAGAGACTTATAAAGACACTTATAGAGTGGTTTAAGGATTGTATACAACTAAAAAAAAATAATTTAATATTAGTTACAGAAATATTGACAAGAAACTGTGGGTTAAATTATTATTTTACAAAAGCGGAAACTTCTTATAATGTACTATAACTTGTAGGTTTTTATTGGGAAAAAAATTGGCCTGTCCTTGTTCTTGAAGTTTGCCCAGTACTGATACATATACAAAAGAAGTACCTTGGTGGTCTTTTTTCACATCGCTTGAATAAATAGAACTGTGTCTTATAGGTTCAAACTACAACCAATACTGTACCTAAGTAAAACTTGAAGAAATACTTTAAGTCTGTGAAGAGAACACAATAAATCTCTAGGTCGCAATGCAAATTTCCTTAACATAACAATAATAATAATAACAATTCGAAAGTTTGACATTTAAATAACAATTAAAAACCAATATTAATCATTAGAATAATCTATTTATAGCACAATAGAAACGCTGATATACACAAGGATCTACGTGAAAACACAGTGTCTTATCTTGATAGATAAGATACAAAATATAAGGTAAAGTATTCTAAAGTTTATAGAAGACAGTATATATAGACTTAAGAAATCAGATAATCTAAAGAGCTATACATATAATGTAAAAAATCAACATATCATAAATAAGAACTGAAATATAAATGTAAAAACAATATAAAAGCGAAATGTGAAACCACTAATATCCACATAAATCGAGAAAGTATTTTAAGTATTATAAGCCTTAATATTTTATGGCAAATTTATAAATTTCTATTAATCTATCAGAATTATCAAGCCCTGTTGTTTAATTAAGACTTTGTTGGTTCGTCGAAGCTATTGAATAATTTACGTTACTGAACTAAGGCTAGCTAGCCATTGGAAGCTTCCAGAAACTTATGAATAAATAAGTTGCGCTAAAATTTTCAATTTAATTTTACTTTTACATTGAAATTGTATAAATGTGTTCGTCTCAAGACACCTGCCTTACATTTTATATGCGGAATACCAAAGAAATGCCCTTACAATTACAACTCCACATAATAAACAAACTTTCCATATTTCTAAAATTTTATAATAATAAAAAATTTATTATTTTCAATACAGCAAATTAATAAAATTGAAACAAACAAAATTGATTATGTTTTATGATTGTTTGATATATTTTTTTCTTTTTAAATATAGTAATTACATTTATAAATTAAATACAGATACAGATTAAAAATGAAACTGAAGAAAATTAAAGTCTTGAATAAATTTATTTTTGAACATTTCTTAATACACAAACATTATTTATAACTGTTATTATTTTACTAACTTAGAATAATAATTTATGCTCTTTCAATTTACTAACTATTTCAGATTTTATTCTTTTGGCACACATTTTAAATTACAAATAAAAACTTAAAAAATTTTTAATAATATTTAGGTAAAATAATAGTTATATAAAACACAAATAAATAACAGAGTTAATGAACTTAATTTGTTTCTTAGAAGCAGGACAAATAATTAGAATTTTTATTTTAATAAAATTATTTTATTTATTTATTATCATTTATATAAAATTTTTATTTATTGTTTAAATTTTTAAAACGTACTTATTAGTCGTGTTGAAAATAATACACAATTTCTTAAATTAATATATATTAATTATATTTTATTTTTATCTATATTTCGTTTATAATCATCTGATCAGACTATAGTCGAAATATTGGCGAAAATAAAATACAATTTTTAAAAAATTTAAAAATATGTATATTATTTTGAACAATTGACCAATTAGCCGTTTCCAAAAATAATAATAATAAAAAAAAATTGTTTGTAAAAAATTTGTTGAAAAAAAATAATATAAATATTACAAATAATCAAATTTATTATTATGATATTTTTAAAGAGAATTCATTATTCGTAATTTTATATATAGACTTAGTTTTTCATTTTAATTAGAAATATTATTTTAATATAAATATTAAATACAAAGGACAAAAAATGTAATAAAATTAAATAAAAATAAAAATTTCAAAAATGTTATTAAAATAATAAATTCTTAATTTAACATATAAACTTATATTTTCAGTATTATTATTATTATCATTATTATAATTATATTATTATTATTATATTATCATTAATATATTATCATTATTATATTATCGTTATTATATTATCATTATGTTATCATTATTAAATTATCATTATTATATTATCATCATTATGATCACATATCATTTTTATTATAAAAATAGTTATGTAGTAAGTTAAACATTAAATTTAATCAATATTGTTTATTAAAACTGAACAAAATAAATATTATTAAAGTAAAACATTAAATAATTAAATCAGTTTTGAACATTTATAGCTCATCGGAAAAATGATGAATATTTTGTAAATGGTCCCCATAATCTGTTGCTTCGCTTCCAACAAAAGTTTCGTAATTTCTTATAACTTCTAAAAATGATAAACGATCGTCATGATCTTCATCTGTTGAAGCAAACAAATGATCAACTTCGTTTTTAGCCACATCTTCACTACTAGGAACTACCCAATTTAAAACTTCATTGCCTGTCAGCACACCATCGTGATTGCTATCTAAATCGTTATCAAAATGTTCCTTTTCAGCAATAAGCCACTCTTTGTCATGTTGATTTCCAGCTTCACCAATAAATTCTTGAAAATCAATTTTACCATCATTATTGAGATCTTTATCACGCATTGTATGCTCTAACACAATGGGTAGCATCTGTGGATGTTCTTCCGGATTTTGAAAATGAACAAATTCTTCAGCATTTAGCACACCATCCTTATTTATATCTGCGGCAGCAAACATTTCTTTATCGTCTTGTATCATTTTGTGCTCTTCTTCATAACTATCAAAATCAATTACTTCCTTTTTAAAGTCTTCATCTTCCATAGCATAAACATCTTGTAAATATTCTTTCCATGTTATATTATCATCACCATCTTGATCAATTTCCTCAAAACGATCAGCAGCTTCTTCCTCTGACAATTTTCTACAAATATTAAATATATATATTGTTTTAATTATTTGTTTAAAAACTGGACCGAAAGTACGTTACGAGTTTAACAATAAACAGATTAGCATGAACATTATTTTTGCAAATATAAGTACATACATTCCAGATATTAAAAAGCAAATACAGTAAAAACTCTCTTGAGCGTACACTTATTTTATTGAAATGATTAAAACAATGTTAGTTATTAGAAAAGTTTTAATTGAGACGTTTTTAAACAGTTGTGAATTACAACAACAAAATTTTATTATTTTTAATTAATTGAATTATGGCTGACCATAAAGCTGTTTGGAGTATTGTCAAGTTCCCAACATCAGTGGCTTTTTAGAAATATGATTTATTTTAAATTATTTGTAAGTAATTTTTGGATGCTACAATTACCAAAGGTTGTCAAATTGGAAGCTCAGCGTCTGTGTTAATTAGTTAACTGACATAAAGCCGTACTTGACTTCTATGTTCTAACTGGAAGTTTTGTTCATTTTCGATGAAAGTGTATGAACCAATTCACTTGTTGTGTTACATTATGACGAAATCATAAACCAGCTGAAGAATAATTCATTACTGTTCAAAATATACTCTCTATTAAAATAACAGTCTCTATTTAGAAATAGTTGATTTCGTCATAATTGACTTTAAAATCCCAATTTAGCTAGAAAAATTGTCCACCTAAGATTTGATGTTATTTGATAGAAATGTCCGTTAGGAGATTTCTCACTGTTTATTAAAAACAGGGCTGACCAAAGTATGGCCGCATGTGGCCCAAGACTAATGTTTGTGAGTCTCGCGACATGTTTTTAATCTACTACAATTACGCAAATTTTCTTTTGGTTTACTGGTAAAACTACATTATGGTATTTCATTTTTACGGTATACCAAATTAATGAATTTAAATTGATAAATTAAGAAAATTAAATTTAAAATTATAACCGTGTTTATAATGTTATAATATATTTATAATAACAGCTTTGAATGTATGTATTTGTTTCTGCGGCTCTCCAATCTGTACAGAAATTTGTCTTGACCCGCGATCTGAACAGCCCTGATTAAGAATATAAAAAACTGCATCTTTTAGGCAAATATATATACATATATATATTTCTTTAAAGCATATTTGTTAATGATATTAATATAACAAATTGTTAGCAGCATAAAAAGGTTATTTTTACAACATAAAACTCACTTAAAAGACCTTAAAATCCAAGCTCGTAACTCATGGCGATCAATGTGCTCATCTCCATTTAAATCCATCATTTTTAAAAGAATTCCTAGACGGCGTTTGGATTCTTCCGGTGACAACGTATCAAATTCTTGCGCTTCTTTTACGTTACCTGAAATATATTTTTTAGAGAAATAGTAGAAAAAGAATTTATTGCGCATAAATTTAATATTGAATTAATTACGCCTAAGCATAAAAGAAAGAATAAAAAACCACACGTGTTAAAATTAAAAACTCAAGTATTATATATGCATGAATGTTTTACTTTTGAATTGGAATGAAAATATCTAAAATATCTAAAAAAATTTTTTTATTTTTAAGAATTTAGTTATGCCTATGTTTAATGCCTAAGTGTATTACGATCTTAATAAGGTTTTCTATGATTATTTTATATGAAAATTCGCTTAAAGTAAGGTGTTGGAAATGTTATTTTTAAATAGTAAAACGTCTTCATAAAAAAAAAATTTATTTCAAATCTATTTTTTAATTTTGCCCAAACTAAGCATACATCTACTTTATTTAATAATAGAATTATGTAAAAACTTACCAATAATAGCCTCATGATCGAATTCTACATTGTGTTCCCCATTCTCACTATGATGATGAGCATCTTTCGGCAAATAAATTCCATCCTTAGTTCGTTCTTTGCTATTGTGTCGTTCATGTTTGTGCGGAGCTATAGCAGCTTGTGTAGGCATGGTACTAACAATAATCACAAACATCGTGATAAGTAGCACTAATACAAATTTACCCATTTTAAATAAACAAATCAGTTTCGCAGTCAGAATATGTTGTTTAGGAACGAACGCAGTCAAATAGATCTATTGGAAAAATTTTAATATTACAATACATTTATAATGTTTATTTGCCTATGCAAAATTCTAAAGATTACACACACATAAGTCTAATTAGATGACTTTTTAATTTTTATAATTTTTATTTCATTTTGTATGACAACTTACCTCCTTCTTATAGCAAAAGTCTGCCAAAGACTAATTTGCAAAATAACTTAACCTGCAGAACGAAGAAAATTATGTAAAGATATCACAGGCTAACATCTTCTGCTAACGCACAGGCACACCAGAAAGAGTACATGAACTTTAGTGACCTTAAGCAACCCAATAAATTTATATATAAATTTTGTACATAAATTTAGTTTCCATATGGTTGCTTACTAAAAAATTTACTGGCATAATCTACTGTTTAAAAATAAAACAACAATTTTTCAATGTTTATTTTAACACCTTTTCTAAACAATGCCCAGCATAGAAAATTCCAATAATATACCAATACGAACAAAGTGAAAATGGAACAACAAAAAAAGTTTGAAAAAAAGTTTGAAAAATAATGATTCAAACTCGTCGTATGATCAGTTACTAAATCGGAATATAACAACTGTTATATAATATAATATAATATAATATAATATAATATAATATAATATAATATAATATAATATAATATAATATAATATAATATAATATAATATAATATAAATATATTTTATATTGTTATATATTATTATTGTATACGTATAATATATATAATATAATATTTATTGATATATATATATATTTATTAATATATTATTTTTATAATATAATGTATACATAATATATATAAAAATAATATATTAATTAATATATATATATATATCAATAAATATTATATTATATATATTATACATGTACAATAATAATATATAACAATGTAAAATATATTAATATAATATATAATATAATTATTCTATTATTATTATCAATAAATATTATATTATATATATTATACATGTACAATAATAATATATAACAATGTAAAATATATTAATATAATATATAATATAATTATTATTATGCATAATAATTATAATAATAATAATTATGGTTAGTATTATAATAATATTATATGATATGTATTAATATAATTATAACAAACATTAATATAATAAACGTATTAATATATAATAAGGATGTATATAAGTATATATATATTATATATATAATTATATATATATATAATATATATATTAATATATATGAATATAATATAATATAATATAATATAATATAATATAATATAATATAATATAATATAATATAAAATGCATCAAAAGGCTAGGTTAAAGGGGTAGCTTTGTCCATTAATGCTCACTTGAGCACAAAAATGTTTTATTTATTACAACGGAGGAGACACTGCTCGTATGTCAGATCTGAAGGACCTCCTAATGGGTAGAAGTCAGTACAAAAAGGGGCCCAAAGACTTTGAATCTTCTCATAACCATTAGCACTGACACATTGTTTATAATACAGTTTTCTTCTCATTCGCAGACCAATTACCCTGAAAAAAGTTAGAGGGCAGACCAACTCTTATTACATGCACTCCAAAACTAATGGTCCCTCTGCAACGATCCTGTAACACTCAGTTAATTCCGTTTTAATTGAAATAATTTACTTCTTCGAGTTTTATTCAATTTAAATCAAGAAAGTCTTATGATCTGACAAGGATCTTCATCTTGTCTGGCTTTAATTATCAATCCCTAAACAACGTAATCAATAAAACTAGGGGATAGAAAATCCTGATTCAGTATACTTACGTTCCATATTTAAGATCTGGATCAAGGGTTTAAAGTATTGTATGGTTGGTACTAAATTCGCTTACTGATTTAACAAAATCTTGAATGGCAAAGAATTAAATAACGTGAATAGATCGCTAATTATCCTTCTTACTTTGTCGAGCAGTCGTAGACAGCTTTTAAAATGCTTGCCATCAAAAACGCTTGTCACTCACATATAAAGGAAGGTTCATTAACAGCAGTGTAGATCCAAAGCACTATTTAAGATTAGAAACTTCATCTGAAACCATCTGATTTTTAACAACAGTAAATGGAACAAGTTACTTTATTTACTTTATTTAAATAATCTCCATATATATCAAATTCGTACTTATACTAATCGAAGTGTCACTAAATTGTGATGAAGAAAAGGTGACGATTTTATACCTCCTTGTAAAAATCATAACCTCCGATTATAAGGGATTAACCCAAAGGCAGAAATCACCTTATGATTTTATTAAAATGATAAATGAGAAATTTTTCAAACTGAGAAATAGCAATGTCACCTTTGATATTAGTAAAATATCAAATGAATACTTATAAAATGTAATTTTCAAATCACCTGCAAGAATATAATCAAAGAGAGACTCACGTCGCTCAAAAGTGTCGATGCTGCTCCACATTTCAGGATGTGAATTAGCGGATGTACTGATATTGACAGGAATCGCTTCGTTATTTAAAAAAATGTAAAAGGCATGGTACGTAAGAATGTAAAAGGCATAAATACTATTATATAAATACTATAAATATAAATTGATACATTACGCATTTTTTGTTAAAAAAAAAAAGAAATCACTTTCCGAACCTAAACCGTTTGACCAAAAATCAAATCCATTTTATTTTACCTCAATCTATTTTATCAACCATATATACCACTATCTATAAAAAATTTGTTTAACCATAAACATTTCAAGCTGATAACTACGTTTTGCTTGTCGTCTGCAGTGCTGTAAGTGCAACATTTATTAAATAAAATTTGACAAATTATGTTTCTCTTCATATCGTTTTTTTTGTATCAGCAAAAATTTTGGAAATATTTATTATAATAATATTGGCAGTTGTAGACGTGAGTACAAACAAAAAGAAGAGCAATTAAAATTACACTATTATGCAGAATTCGTAAAATAATTCACATACAATTTAATTCATTATTTTATGTGTATTATTAATATGCGAATTAAAGGAATATATATTTATTGAAACTAGTAGCAAAAATACTCCAATTTTTGTTTGAATTCCATTTTGTACCGCACTGCCCTCTAATTAATTTGACAGCTGATTTCACATACTTTCGTGAAGATATCAGAAGTATAATGTTAGTAATTAATAGTAATACGTAATTGAATTTATAAAAATATTAATTTCAAATCGATTTTGTATATTTAAATTTTCATTCGGTAAGTTGCAGTGAAAAATCCTTGGGTAGTATGTATTTAACACATACGAATTAATTCAAATAGATATGAGCGTATATGACATCATTAATTAAAAGAATAAAAAAATTGTAAGGTTTTGCTGATTTATTTTCATCATTTGCAATTATGTTAATAACAATATATGATGACTAAGGTGTTAATTAGTTAGAAAAATTATTTAATATCTTCATAATATGTCTTTGTGGTAAGCATAAAGCTCTTTAAATAAAAATATTTAACTTGCGAAATTATTTTAATTCAAAATTGCATATAATCCTTGAAAATTGTAATGCAATAGCGTACAATTTATACAGAGATTATAATTGAATACACAAATATGAAATGAAAGAATTGTATATAACTACAATATTTTAGGATTTCTTATTGTTCCTAATTATGTACTTTCAAGAAACATTGAAACATTCACGTTGAGGGAATTATTTTATTTAACTCCATATAGTAATCAGTGTAATGTGTACTTAACATTATCATATGACAATGTGCCGATGTTTTTCGTCATACGGATTATGATAATAAGTTACAGTTTTATATGGAGATATTATGCTTCAGAGATATTACGAATTTTTAAAATTCTACATTTCATGTGCCCTAAGTTCTTTACTTACGATGATGTATGTAGTTGTCCCGAATATGCAGTGCTTACGAACACTTGCATTACTTTGCACATTGTACGGAAACTATTTTTAATGAAAATATTAGACAGGATTGTATTGGTTATTTTAATTCAATTATAAGTATAAGTAAAATATCAGGTAGCCTTATATTGATTATTTTAGTTCTAGTCTTTATACTTGGTGAAAATTTGACGTAAGCATAAAATGAAATAATTGCCCTTTAAAATGGTTTTACCATTTAATTTTTTTTATTTTTGTGTCCTTTTGATGATTTGTATGGGAAGCTGAGTACATGTGGAAATTCCTTTTTAAGTTTTATGATGACCTAAATACTATATATAGTCTTAATTGTCTACATACTTAATGTTGGTTATTACTTAACAATTTTGTACTGAATTTATAAATTATAATCAACACAATTAAAATATATATGTACAAGTGCACACAATTAAAAAAATATATATACTATGTACTATCTAAAAGAACTAACAAATACATATTTCTATTCCCTTCACAGAGCATTTACAACTCTAAAAGCAATTAATGTAAGCCAGACATTGCCTACAACAGGAACAAAATTTAATTATTTAAGTACAGGAAATTGTTCACAGCAAACTAAATTTTATTCCTCTCTTACATAGATAATTCTAAAATATGTGTTTGTCTATTTAATACGAGCAGTGTCTCCCTTTAATAAATGACGAAAATATTTTATATACATATAATCAAATTGACCATAAAACATATTAATGTTAAAGAGCATTAAATTTCGTTATTCACTTATTCGACTCATTTTGTTTTGGCGAGATAAAATTTTATAAATGCCATACATTATAATTCGTGGTAATTTGGCCTCCTACAGTCATAAGTATCCGTGGCGTGTTCTGGTTTCCGGATTAAAAGGTAACATATATTTACCAATTCTTTTAAAATAAATCATTTTCATTAATAAGTCCTTTTAAGTTGAATGTTTATATTCACATCGTCTGCATATTCCAGTTATAAACCTTTTATTTAGATATATTCTTTTGTTTAAATAATAATTTGTAATGTCTTTTTTTTTTAAAGTACTATAAATTACATCCACACCACATTTTACGCTAGATTATATCACAAATTTGACACGATTATGATTTTCAAAGCGCCGCAAATTGGCTTCGGATTTTTGTAAAATTTGTCATCATAAGCAATTTTTTGCACAAAATAATACATTAAGACTGAAAAGTTTTCGGAAATTCTCATTTAAAATTCGCGCGCTGTATATTTTTCGATATTTTAAGTTTATGTAGTTTGGCAGCACTGTCCTTAATTACTATGCCAAAAATGAGCTCGATCTGTCAGACAGTTCGTTTACGGCAGCTGTTGAAACCAGTTCACCTCAGTAGTGCGTTGCGAAATGTCTTCGACGGTCGTACGACCGTCCTGGAAGGCTTTGTACCACTCATAAACTTGAGTTTTCGATAAAACTGATTCCCCATAAGCCTTTTGTAGCATTCGCAACGATTCTGCACACGAAATTTCGTTCGAAACACAAAATTTGATGCAAACTCTTTGTTCAATATTTTTTTCCATTGTTTTTTTCGCAACGCCCTACTGAGGTGAACTGGTTTCAACAGCTGCCGTAAACGAACTGTCTGACAGATCGCGCTCATTTTTGGCATAGTAATTAAGGACAGTGCTGCCAAACTACATAAACTTAAAATATCGAAAAATATACAGCGCGCGAATTTTAAATGAGAATTTCCGAAAACTTTTCGGTCTTAATGTATGTCTATATAGCTTCGTTGTCGTAGGGTTTTTAGGGTGAAAAACTTTGGAACAACACCAAGAAGGTGTTGTCTTTTAAACAAAATATGTCAACATTTCATTGTTTTCTGTTATATCAATGATAAAAGGTGACAACTTTAAAAGGTGGTCCAATTCTTATTGTAAATAGTTAAAACATTGGCTCTGAAAGGATTTATATTAATACTGTATTATGTTAGCTAAGGTTCTCTTGTAATAGCACTTCTATTTATAAAACTGTACACAAAAATTTTAATTTTGTTGCAATAAATTGGAGGAAATATAAAATCAACATAATCATACCAAAAATATAAATCGATTAGTAAATATAACAAAGTTTAATACGTCATGAGTACAATGATTTAAATAAAGTCAAATACTTTATTAGTACGATTTCAACAGTTTAATAAATACTAGAATTCTGTAGTTAAATTCTTAAAAATTTCACATATAAGATGGCATCCAAATTCAAAGAGATTATTTTAATGATAGATATTTGTTATAAAGTCATCTATTATCTATTACATGCGTAAGTAAAGTAAATCCTTCATTCATATATTGTCATAATATTATGATGTTTGAAGAAATATTAAGATATTTGAATGAATATCATAATAATAGACTATCGTCTGAAATTCATCAGTATATATATCGGTACAATACTTTTACGCCCATAAAACATTTATATTTTGCAAATGAATTTTTTTCGACAATGTAAAAGTAGCTCAGTTCTAAATCCTATAAATGTGTTGAATTTTTGACTTTACTAACGCAAGCCAAGCAATACATAAGGTAGTCCTAAAATAAACAAAAATAAAATACATTAAATACCATCATAATTTTGGCCATCATAAAACCAAAATTTCTGAATATTCGATTAGAATGCAATAATTTGATGTTTTTAAGATGTTATATTACAATTCCATGATTTTAAATAAAGATATTAGGTGATTTTTAATATTTCCCCACATATTTTTACGAATACCGGTATAATTTTTAAGAAATTTGAAGAAAATTTCACGATTCCGATATCGCAACTACGCCCACTTATTTTGAAAAATTCTTTCTAATACACATGACATATACTTAATATTGTTTAATTTTTGGCATACCGTACTTTGAAATCAAATATTTTTACGTAAACCAGTAGAGGTGTCATATGGCGCTGCAACTGTTCTTGTAACCCAATGGAATCAAGACAGCTGACACTACTTAAATCTGTTGTCTAATAAATATATTAGAATAGCACAAAACAATTGTCTTTTTTTGATAACATAAATATACTAACACTAGAAAATCAATTACTTTATTTCTATCGTTCAATTATTATAAAATTTTGAAGTATACTTCTTCAATACAATATACTGCCAATAGATGACCTCACTACACATAACTTTGTTTTAAAGAAGTCCTGCTTACTTTTGAACACTCCTTACAATTCCAACATCCATCACACCTTATTATTACGAAAATGTATTGATGATACATTCCTTTTTGTTCAAGAACCATGGCTATTTAATTATCAATTCTTCAACATCTTTCACCAAATCATCGATACAATAGGCTGTTAGCCTGATTTATTAAATTTAATAACCCTTAATACAACTATTGCATGCTGCTTAGTAGCTGGTCTAAATAAAAATGTACTTTACCGTATTTTCTAAAAATCGAATAGATACTTTTGAAGCATTTTCCTTTTTATTTTGATGGTGTTTTAATGTATCTTTGTGTTAAGTTCCCCTTCTGTCAGGATTACTATACAGTATAAGCAAATCCCATGAATAAATAGGTAAGTGTGAATGTGGTCATGCAAAATAAATTTATTGTTTTTATAATACTTATATAACTTAGAACTACTCGAAAGCTCTACATAAACTTTATGACCTTATAATGACACATCAGCTTTAAACTTTTCTTTGGCATTTTATATCTATTTGTGGTAGGCCTCAGAGCACAAGGTTTCATTGTCATATGGTGCGATCTGAGTTGTTGACATGTTATTTGTGTGAAAAAATATACATTTTAATGGTAAATTCGTACAATGTTTTCGTGAATTAATAATTATTTTTGCAAACCAAACAATTTAAATAAAAATAAAAAGTTTTTGATTTTGATTCACACAATTTGTGCCTGAGTATAACATATTTATGGCTGAAACTAAGTTTTATATCTAAGTGTTTTCGAAGAGGTATGTGTATTGTACATAGATTGTTATTTTTGAGTAAGAATAATAAACTTATTTTGGTGAAATATTTATTAATTACCTGAAAATAAATTAATTAAATTGATTTGAATTACTTTTAAGTCAATTCAATGAAATTTCATACTCTAAAACAATGTTATATCTTTTTTATGCCGTCATTTATAAATGATTGAGCTTTTCTCCCCTCAATAAACCTCCTCTTACTATTAATAAATTGTTTAGTATTTTTTTTTTTTAGTCAGTTTTTCAGCTCGATTAGCGTCCATGTTAAACATTCTATAACCAGATTCACAGTACCTATAAATTATAGTTAGCGTGTTTTGATAAATAATAAAAATAAAAACATGTTTTGTAGAAATAAAAGATTTTTTTTAATTTTATTAATTAAAAAGCAATGTTTTTTTAATTTACACCTTATTTATATATACAACTGGTTTTACTCTTCGAAACATCTATAAAATACTATAATTTTGAAACAACGTAATGGAGAAAAAATTCGAATAAAATTTAAAATGAAATATTAAGAATAATAATAGCACTCTTAAAATAATTAAAATTGTAGAAAATTTGCATAAACAATTCTATACCGCTGTGATTGCAGTTATAATCAGTTTATAATAGATTGTTGAATAAATTTGCGAAACTCCATGTATACGTCAAAAGTAGAACTAAAACTTTGACGACATTTTTATATAGTATATGTATCTTTTATAAGAATATGGACAAAACTTCTTTTTGATTTGTCAAATTCACTCTTGGTTTACAAGTCATTTGAAGTTGACTTATCAGTGTATTCATTGAATAATGGAATAAAGTTGAACTACGTGCAGTGATTAAATTCTTTGAAAAAGAAAGATTTAAGATAAAATCATATAAAAATGGTAAATTTATCCGGTTAATCTGTTTATTGAAAATCAATGACTTATAAATGAGCTGATGTGTTTTAAAATAGATGTCTTACAAGATTTGAAAACTTTGAATTTTATAGATCTTTAGTAGGCATATTTTTTGTCAAGTTTTGAGGGATTATGGCTGCTATATTCGCATACAACTTCAACTTGAGACAAGCGTTAGCAACATGTGGCGCACTCTAGAAAACATAACAAGGATGAGACTCGGTATTACCACTGAAATCCTGAACTGAAACGAGAATCAATGAAGTAGTGCAACCTCTTTCATTCCACAGTGGGTTTGTTATCAGAGATCGGAAAATTCTAGTGATAGTTTTTTGCAAGCAAAAAAAATTTCGCTTGAGGTTATTTTCAAACTACTATAAAAGTAGACTCCGTTGATTACTGCAATCTTTCGAACACATTCTTGAAAAAAAAAACACTAATTATAGAAAAAAAAATGTGATATTCCAGCAATAAAATGCACTTTCTAATACATTTCACGAAATCGTTGTTAAAATTATTGATTTAAACTACGAATTATTACAAGAGCCAACCTATTTATGAAAATTGAACTCAGTCTAAGTTCTGAATATATCTACACCTCTAAAGAAGAAATAAGAAAAGGATTTTCATTAAATGAAGAAGTAATAGTTACCATAAGAAGTATATTTTGTAGACCTTCTGAAACACTACACAAGACAGAAATTATAAATATGATTTTTATACCCTCTGCTAATGAGACTTTATTTATGGTCAATCAGATTCAAAATGATGTCTACAAAATTAGTAATGTTTTTACAAAAAATTTCTTGAGACTCTTCTGCGACTGATAAAATCCTTTTACGTGATGATAGAAATATTTGATAATAGATCCAAATATAAACTTATTTTGTTGAATATTGCTATTTGACTTTTAGAAAGCTATATCTTTTGAGTTCTTAATTACGTAAATATACTTATACATGATGCATTCTGCGTTAGAAGGAACAGGTCTCATATGATCTGTTTTAACAGTTGCTATTTGTACGATGTGCAAGTAGTGCAATCCTGCACGATTTCTTTATTCAATGCCCAGTCATTAATTAACCGTTTTTTTTTTATTGTGAGGCAAAGTTATCATTAAAATTTGAAATCCAACATATATGACAACCACACGCACCAACGGGACTCAATCTATAATTCGTATAGAGAGGTTGATAAAGAGACTGTTTTCAAAGAATTGTTTACTTGAAATTATTGTTTTGAATACTCCAAATAATTCCAACAATGTAATAAACGTTGTAATTAGTCAATTGTAAGGTTGTGACCAGGGCAGGGCCTGCATCCGTTTCACACGCGAAAAACCAATTGATTGTTACTGTCATAGTACTTTCATGCATGAATTTATTCGATCGATAAATTCTAATACATTTTCATTGTTTATCTTGTCTTCAGGTTGAACTTTTCCTATGCTTGGATACAATAATTTAGTGTATAATTACAATAAACTGAAGAATATTTTCCGATACTGAAACACTTTTTTTTAAAATTTAATTTAACTGCATTTGGTAAAACTTAGTTGTTCCACAAAACAGTTAAATATTTTAATTTAAAAACAGAAATTCAAAACACGCTTAAGTATAATTTTATTTTAACAAAATAAATCTAAAGTCTGCACAAAGTTTAATTTTTAAATTCAATCATTCGCAAACATATATTAATAATTTTATTTGCATCATTTATACATTAGTCAATATTTTTGTTTTGCTAATATGTCTGAATTAGTTAAAATATTGTTTAAAATATTTTAATATTTACTTTTAAAACAAATATTAAAAAACTTTAGCGGATGAAATTGAGCGATTAAATAAATTTTCATGTGGCGGCTACAGTGATGAATCTACAATAGTATATTTGGTGCATCCTTGTAGAGTACTATCAGCTCTTGAGGTTAGTATTTCATATAAATATATATATATTAATCACTGTTAGTAAAAATTCATAACTTATAATGTCTAATGAAATGAGTGTATTTACTTGTTTTAGAATTGTTTCAAAAATTATTAATGGCTAATTGTTCTAAATTGTAAAAATTGACGCTTTTCTTAAGCTCGGGTTATGGCGAAAGTGTCCAGTAACGAGCACTTACGACCATGTTATATAGACAGTAATATGATGAATAGTCATTACTCTTTTTGGTCATGACCAAAACACATTTTATACAGTGACGTAGTATATCACAATTGTCAGTTTTGTATTTATTTTGTATTTTGTATTTACTATAATACAGAAAATTTTGTATTATATGAAAGACGCGGCCCAAGAAGAAAGGTATTGTGGCTTAAGAATCTAAGACAGTGGTTTTGTAACAGTACAAGATCGCCTTTTCGTGAATCATGTTAGCCAACGTTCGAAGCGAAAAAGCACTTAGAAGAAGTAAAAGATAAGAAAACTTATAAATCCAAATCCTTAACTTTTATTCAAATAAATTCTTGAACTGACCATAAAGCTGTTTCCAATATTGCCAAATATCAGTGATCAATAATCTTTGGAAATATGTATTGGTTCAGTTTCGTGCTTCAACATATGGGTTCATGTTTCTTATACTGTGTTCTTTTGAAACATAGCACAGTAATTCTTGAGCATTGTTCTGCAGCAATAGGCAACCGACATCTACAGAGGATGAAACTTTAACGCAAAAAGTGGGTTTATTGATGCACTTTTGTCTTATTAATTTACATTACAAATTGTAAAAATATTTATATTTAGTTTTTTGCCGGGATTTAGGTTGTTTTTATTTTTATCATATAACTTTGAATAATATAAAAAAATATATAATTCAAAACACTATAAAATAATAGTGTATTTAAAATAGTATTTAAAAAAATGTATGTTATTATTTTTATATTTTTTTATATTATTAAAAATAATATAAAATCAAAAAAAACACGTTCTGATGCCCCATGAAAAATAAATACATACGGACAATTAAAGTCGATACCTATATTCACAAAAATATAAATCATCTTACGAAAATTAAAGCCATTTAAATTAATTTATTGCTCAGATACAATTCTTAAGTAGCTGTAAATAACAGTACTCACTATCAATTAATCAAATAGTTGTTTCAATGGAAATGTCAACAGACATCAAACAATAGAATATTTTTGATAAAATTTGCAATTTAGATTATCACCTTCGTAAGATACAAAATCTTCGTATGTGTGCAACTGAATAACTCCACCTTGTCCATCTTTATGTAGAATCTATAAAACTTCTTGTAAAAGACCACAATTAAATACTATCTAAGAAATATCAAATTACATGCCATACAGATAGTTACCCCAATGACACCATGTTAAATAGAGTATTTCCCACAAGATACATTCGTCAATCCCTTTCTTCGTATTATTCTTATATCGACACCAATTGATATGGAGTCAACATCATTGAGATCAAATACAAATGTGGAGTAACATCTCTACAAAGGACATAATGTCGTTCTTAACTGCTACTCGTCTATGGAACTAAATTGGGTATGTCATAATAATTCTCAAAGAATGCAGTGACGTGGTGACAAGTTCCCAACCCGTTTTAAAATCTAATCTAAGATTCCTTTACACAGATGCAATTTTCTCTTCAACACCAATGTTTTATAGCAACAAAGTTTTTAACAATCCTCTGCCTAATATCTCTTAGGAAGAGTGACACCTATTCAGTGCAGTAAGAGCTATGTTAACCCAATAAATGTCAGGATGCAGACATGTTTTAAACAGTTGCTTGTCACGCATAAATGCGTAAATTCGCAATGTGTAAGGCACACTGAAACTCTATTCCCCATGATGTTGTCCACCTGTTTTCATGTACATATGTATACACCAATTTAAATCAAATTAATTTTTGCCTCCGTCCTATTTATGTAGGTAGATTCCTTCGCCTTAGTGCAGGTAAGCTTCAATTAAAATCCCACTTATCCTTAAGTCACTTTTATTTCCTAATAATCTCCTCGTCTTTCACATATCCTTTACCCAACCACATCCTAACCCCACCATAAATACGTGTTTATAATATCTTAATTGTTATCTGTGACGGGTTATTACAACAATACAATCAACCATTTTCTTTCACAGCTTTTCTCTATGTTAATATGGAAAATGGACCTTCTTTTCTCATATAATTGTTTGACGAAGACCTCTTGAATTTATCGTTTTTTTTCTCTAATGCTATGTGTAAAAAATAATTACAACAATTAAATAAAAATCAATTATATAATAAATGTGATGAACCATAAAAAAATGTCACATGCTTCTATTTAATTAGTAAATTTGCATATCTTTTTTAAGAAGTTTATGTTATGAAAATTTCTTTCCAGATTTTAGGTTTTCGTGTAGTAGCGTCGTCCTCGACAGCAGTTAAACAAGACTACAACGAGTACATGTGGACGATGCGAAAGGAATTTACTGCCGCAGAACCCGTGGAATCAGAATCCGTTACACGTGAAAACCTATCAAATATAGGTCGTGAAGCAGCTAGCTTGAGCAACTATCACATTGATTCACCCGAATAAAAACAATTCAAATTTGAATAACGGAAAATAAATTTAACTGCGTTAAATTTTAAATAATAAATAATATCTACATAAGTTAAATATACAAAAACTAAACTGAATTCAAAAGCAAATTATTTTAAAAAGCAAAAAATAAACAAAAAAAAAAAAACAAATTAGAAACAATCAAGTAAGATCATATTTTTAATAAATTTCTTACTTAAGTAAAAATTTATGATATATATATTTATATCACATTAACTTTGTATTTACATACAATTTTATTTTCTTAATTTTTCTTTTGAAGAGTGGTTTTACAAACACTCTTGTAACTCTTAAAAAAACAAAAAAAAAATTATTTGTACTTTTAAATTTTAAAAATATATACGATATATACGATTTAGACAATAGTCATACTATCATTGGTAAAGCAAACGAATTAAACCGTGTAATATTATGGAGTCTCAACAAAATCCAATACAAACGTTTGAACCTACAAATAATTTAATGTATGACTCTATGTCACCTAGTAGTCCGGAGGCGGTACAGAATCCCAGTGCAGCTCCAACTGTAGCATCAACTGTAGCACCAACTGTAGCGCCAGCTGTAGCGCCAGCTGTAGCGCCAACTGTAGCTCCAACTGTGGCTCCAACTGCAGCTACAACAGCAGCTCCAGATAGTAATACCTGTGCAAGCGTTGTGACCATACCAGTGCCTGTTGTGCAAAGTGAGGAATACTATCAGTACGTCACTGTAAAAGGCTCATTACATGATCGTTCATGCGCAATTTTCGGTTTAAATGAAGACGAGATACAAGCTTTAAATAAACGTATTCCAACTGGCGTTAAACGTGTTATAAACGGTGTTATGGTGGCTGTACCTCCTATGGTGATTCTCAATCTTTTGGCACAATTGAGCTACAAAGTTGTATGCAGTTGTGGGGAGGCAGAGATATGCTGGACCATGCAACGAGAAGTTTAATCATGCAAAAACATATACAAAAATAAAATAATTTTTTATTAGCAATATAAAACTAAAAATAAGTTCATATTCTAAACTTGTATAAATTTGTGTGAAAAAAAAACCTTTATTGAATTCGAAAACAACAGTATCTTCTTTATATGCTTAATATGTATGTACTTCATTAATATTTTTAACAAACAAATATTTAACCAAAATTTTTATTCTTTTCTTCGCCAGTGTATCTTATATGTTAAATAAAATATTAACATTAAAATAAAAAAAAAAAGTGACGTTAAAAAACTATACTATAAAGATAATAGATTAAAAGACATATTCGAAATACGTCGAACTATTTACTTAAAAAATAATATCATATAAATAAAACGTTAATTATTTGTATTTATTAATTAATATAAAATAAAATTTAAAATGGATCAGCATAGTGCAGATTGTTGTAAATGTCATAAACAAGCAGCTCCAGCACAACAATCTCTGTCAGATATGGATTTTGACCGTGGCATTTGGAACGCTGGTGAGTTAATATATTAATTATAATTTTAAAATTATCGCTCAACACACACATAGTCCCAGGTTCACTGATTCGATTTTAGTACAGAGAGCTATTAATTACATTACCAAAAAACAAATCTAAAGTAGTATACACAGTTTTTAAATTAATTGCACAAACAAGGGGTAACTTGTTATTGATTCTTATCATATAAATATTTCGAACACAATGTGCTTATTTACACTATCATAAACGTGAGATGAACTTGACGACAATATGAACTGTCAGTTCAGTTTACACTATCATGAACTGTCATGAGCGTGAAATTTATTTTGTTTTGTGTAAACGTATAAAATGCTTGTGTGTAATAGTGCAGAGCACAGAAATTGAGAGTATTCAGTATTAAAAGGTAAACATAAACATAACATTGCATATGTATGCGTGTCAAGCTGAAGAAACCCAGCAAATTTCATTGCGTGAAATTCATGAACTCACTCTCTCATCTATAAGTAACCGGTTTTCAAGTTCATGTTCATGTTACGTTCATGATAGTGTAAATCAGCCCAATAACTAGAAAACTGAGCTATATTGGCTATAACGTAGTGAATTTTTTTTTATTATTCTTCAGAATAATAGTTGTTTTTACTAAAATCTGTTGTCAAATAAGTATGCCCGGAATCGTACCCAGATTGCAATAAAATTGTTGCTTATAATTAACAAGATCTTCATAATATTTTTATATTAAAAATATATATCGCTTCTATATACCCGTAGCACAGCTAAGTAATTAGTGTATTTATACAAATTTTGACTACATTACTTTCACCATTAATGAATATAATAAATTAACTTATGGCTTCGTCTCAAAAACAGAGCTTCAAGCTCCTTAGATTCACAGAAAACCGTAAGCTTAGATTCATCTTATATAGCTAGGGTGATCCCTAGCTTAGATGGAGTACTTTGATCAGTGCACAAAAGTTACTGAAGCTATTGAAAGTTTTGATAAAGCCATCACATGAACATGGACTATTGATTATGCTGGTATACTAGCGCTACAAAGTCTACGCAAAAAAAACAAACATCTGTTTGCGAAATCTTTCAATAAGCATACATTATTTTTAATATTAAATCTATTGCCGTGAAATCGCCCAATAGTCGATACTGCGGCCAGAAGAGTCCTATTGTACGAAATTCACTTTTAATTACATAAAGTCCTTTAAAGCTTTATGAACAAATTCCAAAACTAAATCTGGAGAAGAGCTCTAAATCTGTTCTGGTGACAGAAATTCCATATGAATTAAGTTTCTTCTGTGCGTTATAAAAGCAGGACAGTCACAAAGGATATGTATAGATGTTTCCTCATCTTCGAGGCATAATCTGCATACCGAATAAACATATGAATATTTCTATTTTTGTACAAATTTATTCTAATGATCTCTTGCATATTCATACACAAATGTGAAAATTGAGCAAATAAAACAAATTTTTAAATAAAAAATGTCAGCCTTGTCATAGTGAACAATTGGATACCGTATACTATGAACAGACCTTGCAATAATTAGTTCCTATATCCAGGCGCGACAGTATATAATTTATGATATTATTTCTTTTGATGTAAGCTATAATAATTTCTACATATTTTTAGCAATTTACAACGAAGCTGATCGTGTACGGAACTTTATAAAAAATGGCAAATGTATGGATCGTGATAATTGTGACTACACGGCATTACATTATGCTGCCCGGAATGGAAATGCTGAAATCTGTAAAATTTTGGTGAACGATGGCAAGGCTGATGTTAATGCAGTTACGAAAGGAGGTGTTACACCGCTACACCGTGCTGCTATGATGGGTATATAGTTTTCGCTTAACTTATTCCATTTTTAACTTAATTAGGATTTAGTAATTAATAATGTTCTACCAATTATTACAGGTCACTTGGATATTGTCAAATTCCTTATAACTTCAAAGGCAAACATAATGTTGCAGGACGAAGACGGTCAAACTGTTCTACATCGTGCTGCTGCGCGTGGACATTTAGATGTTATTAAGTATTTAGTTGAGATACGACCTGAATTGAAGAATGTTAAAGACAACAAGGATAAAATACCATATGAGTGTTTGTCCGAGAATGCAAATGATGATTTCAAAATTTTACTTAAGCCTTGAATGTTGTTAAAACACCGAAGTTGTTTAGAAGTTTTAGTACACGCTAGTAAAGTATCGCACTCGAACAAAATTGCATTTCCTTTCCACTAAATTACAAATAAAGAGAATAATTACAACTTCAAAAACATAAATATTTATATGATAAGTTTTATTTTATTAATTTTATTCCAAAAAACAAAATATGTTTTAATTTTTCATATTTTTTCGGAGCATTTATATCTAAAATAAAGTATTATACAAAATTTTATTATCAACATTAATTTAATCAAAAACATTGTGTTTGCTTTGAGATAGGAGCGATATATTAAAATGCCTAGAATATAGAACAAAAAATTAAAAGAAATAAATATTTCATATATATAAAACTTATTATTTCAATAGAGTACATATTAATAATTTTATTTTATGTAAATGAAGTTTCATTTTATATAAATGAAGTTTCATTTTATATAAATGAAGTTTCATTTTATATAAATGAAGTTTCATTTTATATAAATGAAGTTTCATTTTGTGTAAATGAAGTTTCATTTTATGTAAATGATTTACATAAATACATAGTACAAAAATTCAAATTTAGGTTATCGACGTTATGTAGATTATTTGTTCTCCTTTTCGCCGATACATAATAGAAAGGTGGATTCCAATATAAACAGAAGTTTTCGTAAGATATTTTCGTACATAGTTTAAATGCATCGGCAATAAAAGTAGAAATAGAATAAAATAAAATAGAAATCTAAAATTATGTATTTTGTGTAATCTAATTAAACTTAGTTTAGCCAAACTAAGCTTATAGTAATAATTTTATATTTCTCGACTGAAATGGTATGAGTATAATCAGTTTAAAAACAGTCATGAAAATATATATGATGCATAACATATCGGCTAACCAAAATCGGTAATCACCGTAATTATTTTAAAATTTTTAGTAATTTCAAGATCAGACAAAATTTTACCGAAGACCAGACAAAATTGGAATTGAACATCTTAAGAACATCGCATTTTGACTAAAAATTTGTGACATGTCGACTCTTCCAAATGTGTTGAAGCTTTAGCAGTATATCTGTAAAAAGTTACCTTACCTATGCTTTAATCGCCAATACATAACCTCACTACAAATAAAACTAGTAGTATTACATTTTCTATTTTATTAACGTATCAAATGATAATTTCAGTTTGAAAAAATCGAAATCCGGTATTAATATAACACTCTGAAATTTGTTTTTATACTTTTCATAAAATAATAAATTTATCCAAATTCTGCTAGAAACAGACTTAAGTGAATAGAAGACCACTCTCAACAAAGAAACACAATTTAAACAAATTTAAGTTGATATTTTATTTAAAATAAAATAAAAATTAATACATACATTTTCTTATACTGATATATACGTAATTAATACACTTTTTGTAATAATATCCTCAATTAATTTAAATAATTGTATATTCTTTAGTAAAATAAATTAATATAAGTATTTATGATGAATAAAAACTTTATTAAATAATAAATATACTTCAATAGCTTTATAAAAAAGATGTATAATTCACCTTTGGCCTTTGTAGGGTTTAAATACACTTCATCAGTTGCAAATTCAGGAGGGACTAAAAGAATAGATACCTATCCACTTTGCAATAAAATGTAATATTAATAAAAACTATACAAATCTGATATATCTAATATATAAATACTAATATTAACTAGATATCTTGATAAAGATTCGTCATAAACATTATAAAAAAATGTTCAAAATAACTATGAAAAACGATAAAAGATTTACAGATAGTTTTAGATTTTTAGCATGAAGTGTGTTTAAATAAAGCTATTGAAGATAGTATTAAACAGAATATCAAACAGTTTCCATATAATATATATTTATAAAAAATGCAATTAATAATACATTTTAAGAAATTTTCCTTTAGCACTATTCTATTATTATTACATTTATTATAATTAATTTGATCAACTCAAAAAAACCTTAATGAAGAAAGAGATGAATTCCAATAAATCCTAAAGTTTGGCACAATTCTTGCTCTACCATTAAATCAAGCTTAAATACTTCCTACTTCTACGTCCCGGAGCCACTCGTCGGTAGCCGACGACCAAGTGCCGTTCGACATCTCCCGAAAGGACTTCACAAGTAGGTCCCACCGGATTTTAACAACAATTTCTTTTTTTGTGACTATCTAATAAATTACAAATATAGAAGCAATAAATTATAATAAATCTATTCGGTTAATAAATATACATATATTCGAAGATCGATTGTAAACTGTATGTAACAAAAAGTAATAATTTATATTTTAACCAAATTTATAATTCTTATTTGATTTGATTATATACGCTTATAAGAAAAATGTAGAATGTAAAGAAGTTTGTGCTTTCGCAACAGCAGCAATTGCTGTTTTATTAATATATATATATAAAATTTAATTACTGAAATATTCAGGTTTAACCAAAGTGCAAATATTTTACAGCTTCTAATCTAAGCTAAATAAATAAATGCGCTAACCATCTTATGTGCTTTGATTAGAAAATTTGATTATATTCGCAATAGAATAGAAATAAATTGAAAATTTAAAAAAGATAGCGATTTCAGTATTATTAAAACTGACGAAGATAGGGCGAAGATCCTAGCAGACAAATTTCTTATTCTTAGTTAACTTTAAAATATGTTGAGGCTAGTTGAGTTAGTGCCCTTGAGCATTTTTACTCTCTATTAACTGCGAGGTTCCTTCATAACCCCTCTCTACGCCTTGAAGGGATTATTGTTTATCAGACTAAGCAATAACTGATCTCAGATCTGCATACCTGCCCGAAGAAACTGTAACCATTCTGAGATATTATATGAAAAAATCGGTTGAACCTGACGACAGATCCAATAAGTCATAGACAAAAAGAAAGCTGAAGATCTACATGATAGAATGATGGAAGAGTTAGTTTCATTTTTGAGCAAAAGGTGTACATACTTATTTATATATATATTGATGTGTATGTAAAAATAACTGGTACTCTCTCACTCTCATAATTAATTTAGTAAACTAAACAAAAAAAATTTTCTAGCATTTGGTTTTAATAATGATATTTATTATTTCACATGTTTCGAATAAATTGCGATAGTGTCAAAGTACTCTTTAATAACATTCCCGAGATTAAAATTAATCGTATACCTTAACTGTGGTTGGAACTAAGAAAATGTTTCCAGCAAGTTAATTTAACATTAATTGTCATTGTATAATAAGTTTTGCAATTTTTAAAAACATGTGTAACCATTATAAGTAATACATAATCTGCAAATATTATATCAAATGCACTTAGACAGTCCGTATTTCCAAAATATGATTAAGTAGTTTTCGATGCTTTTTTCTTATGACTTCGATCGTTCCATTTTTAGTTGATACTCTTATTGATTAGAATGGTAATGTCCGCTTTGTTAAAAGTGTTTAATAATTAACCTTAGTTTGCAAATCCGGACAATCATTAAAATATATCAAGAAATTTTTAAGTGGTAATGGTATATCCAATTCTTTAATCATAAAAGCCAATGTAGAACTTTCCCGAGTTGCTGTGTACATGCGATTTACCATTTTTGAATTTTGCAAGAGATTTATAAAATGTTGGCGAATTACAATTCGTGACAGCAGTTGTAAGGATAATGGCATAGAATTTAGTTTACGAATATTCTCTTCAAATGTTTTGCTCTCCACACTGCAATCTGTAGACTTTTGAGTTATTTTGACGGGAAATTGAAAGCCAGTGCAAACTATAAAACAATAAAAATATTTTAATAAACAAATTTCAATAAATAAAATAATGTCTTGTTAAGTAATTTAGAAGCTTAAACACTTATATAATTCGAGTAATGAACCTGTAGGGACTAAGTAAACACAGTAACCTAACCAGACCCATATACTTAAATCTAAATTTGAACGAGAATATTTATAAACTAAAAATCTAAATTTTATCAAAAAAATAATAGTTCTAGAAAGTGTATATACAATACATGTTCAAACTCCGTTTAACATCTTGAACTACAATGTATTTTTTGAATACTTATAGCCTTAACTGTATATCACGTAATACTGGATTTACACGAGAGTTTTATTTGTAATTTTAGTTGTCAAAAATGTTCATTTTATATTGAAAGCAACAACAATTGACAGCTAAAATTACAAATAAAACTCTCATGTGAATCTAGTATAACTGAACTTAATCAACATTGTGAATTATAGAGAATTGCTGTGTACCTACTTTATAGACCAACGACACTGTTTTGTATCTGATACGATGTACCATATGTCGCTGAAATGTGTATAAATCAGTGTTTCTCAACTCAAAACTTACTGCGATCTGGAAAGTTATTAAATGTGTTTTACAAGTATCGCTAAAGTATTTAATGTGTTTTGCAGAGATCTATACCAATATCTTCCGAAAAACTAAAATCGTTAAAAAGGAACATACATTATTTTACTGACCAGTGTTACTAATGGTACAGTCTGATAGCGAACCGGGCATAAGCGGTTGAGGAACCCTGGTGTAGATATATATTGTTATATTGTCAATTGTTTTATTTTAACTAAACATATCAATTTTAGATTTAAATACGTATACCTGCAGGGAAATTAAAATAATAAGTTTTATTCTATGTATCAGATTGTTTTTGGTCTTGATTTAAAAACAGTTTGTAATTATTATAATTTTTATAGTTCTGACAAGTGAATTGCAATTGTTAGCTTATTGTAAGTAAAATAGTAAAAAAATACTTTTTGATTTCTATATCAGACTTTAAATCTTCTTTTAATAATTTTGTCAATATTCATCAATATTAAGGAAAATAAAATCAGTTAAATAAATAAAGTGAGGCGTAACCATATACTATAGATAACAATTAAAAGAGTCAATTGATGTGATATTGTAAATAAAAGAAACACTATTTTTATTCATGATGGTTGTTAAATCCTCCTACATCCCTACATCCATTCATCCACATCCATTCAGCTACATACAGGTGAAATATCTGTTTTATCATGGTTATTGGGGGAAATACCAATACAGATGATACAAGCCACATCTTTTATTGTATATAAACAATTGTATACATGTATATCTATTATTATATTTTTATGACAATAATCTGTTCTGATTTGGAACACCAATGTAAGATTGAAAGGAAAGAGAGGAACTAATAATAATATTTGTGAACCAATAATAATATTTAAGTATGTCTATAACTTGACATCTACACTGACTAGACTTTGGTGAGATTTAAATGTTCGCATGAAAATTCGTATTATATTCATAGTATTTATACTATAAGCAAAAATCTCGTCAAAATCCATCCAATGTAAATGCAGTGTAAATGTAATTACTTACCTAACAGCTTTACCAAGTTAAATCCAATTTCAGGATTGGAACGCAAGTGATACACAACATGTTCCTGACAAACTTTATTAACGTTAATGCCTTCCTTAATAAGAAACTCCGCAATATCATATTTCTTGAGCATAATTGCGCGGCCAAGCAGAGTCTTGCAATAGGCAGCTTGGCATTTAGGAAATTTTGGTGTATGGAGTAGCCAATCTCCTCCGCTATATGCGAACAGTACACGTGCAATAGGTTTGAACTCGATTACGTTTTGGAAGCAGTTTATGGCCAACATAAGTTCATCTTCCACATATTTTATTTCGGTTAAATAACTACCATTTACAATTTTATAATGCTTCAGTGTTGTCAATAAAAATTCTAACATATCTACATTTTTAAGTATCACCGCAAGCCATATAGGTGATACTCCTTCATTATTGAGTACATTTAGGCTTTCGCCGTTTTCATTATTAAGCAATAGCTCCGCCATGTTCTTAAAATTGAAACGCACGCAATGATGCAATAAATAGTGAGATGTGACACGTCGTGCTCCATGACGGATCAGGCACGCAGCCATTTGGACATCGTTTTGTGCAACAGCGTAGTAAAGTGCAGTATGATTGTCTTTGTCATGTAAATTTATGCGGGCACCTCTATCAATTAATGTATAGGCAATTGCATTTAAGCCACAAATTATAGCGCATATAAGAGGCGTCTGGTTCAAATCATCTGTTTCGTTAACATTACTTGTATTTTCTATTATGAAGTTAGCCTAGAAATGTGCCAATCAAAAGTTTGAGAACGACATTAATAAAAAATCTACATATCTTACCACTTCAGTGCAACGATTTTTGATAGCTAAATGCAAAGCAGTCTCACCAGTATTAATTGTTTTTAAATTAGGATTCGCACCATGATCCATTAGAATTGTTGTACACTCCATATGTCCGCAAACTGCTGCATAGTGTAAAGGTGTCATTAGTAATGCATCCATAGTATGTGGATCTTGCGTCATAATGCAATGATTACGAAACTCCATATCATCAATACTACTTATAATGGCACCAGTTTGCTCAAAAGTTTTGGCGTAGTAATAATATAAGGATGTATATTCGGCCTCTATTTCATCAGGCGCACAATTATTTGTATCAGTACAATTTGCTAAGAACTCATCCTCCCATTCAAGATTATCCATGCCATCTGGTGTGCAATCTACTTCAATTTCTTTTGACTTTAAATTACCTTAACAATAATATAAGAATAAATTATGATGTTAGATACATCTTGTTAAAGAGATACTGAATTGATATTGATTAAGACAATATCCTTAAGATAAAAATTGTTATTGTGCATTTACTTTTCTTGAAAATATCTGAATCCGGCTCTTCACATGATTGTATCAAAAGCTCTAGGATTTCAGCATCGCCAACCAATGCAGCTGTTCCAACACCAGTACGACCACTAGAAGACGAAACAAGAGTTGCTTTCGCTCCTTTTATAAGATAATGCAAGACATCTTCATAATTGCAAATTTGAATAGCTGCCAGCAGACGTTCATTTAAATCATTAGCACTGATAAGCGAGGACTCAAACATTTTAAAAGTAACATTTGTATATAATTAAAGATATGTCAATTAATTTATCTGTTCTTGATTTTAGAAAGCAATTATTTTGATATTAATATTATAAGCACTGTTAAGAAAAAGTAAAACATCAAAAACAAATATTCAACAAATTCAAACAACTTTATATATATAAATATTTAGATATACATATATATACCAAAATTTGATAAAAGTATTCCTTGACTTAAATCGAACTTGCGCATTGTGCTCCGTAAAGCCAACATAGAAAATTAACGACTGAGAAGTACTTATTTTCTTATTTGACGTAAAAATCCATAAATTTTAAACATATATCAAAAACAATCAAAATGAAAGAAAATTATAAATATCTGCAGGAGTTGATATAAAAAAATCCAATCATAACCCTTAAAAACATTTTGTATGGAATTACAAAAACAACTACCTTGTATGAAAAATGCATTTTATATTTTCGTTTTAAAAATATTCGGCAGGCCAGTGCCAGTTATTCATCATTTTTATATTTATAACGCAAATGTAACAGTTATTTATGCATTTTAAAATAAAAAGCAGAATTTGAAGAGTTATTTCTGCGCGAAAAAATAAAAAGCAGATAAAATAATTATGTTTGAAGAATATAATATAAAGCAAATTTAATTATTATTTTTTGAGTTTTATTATAAAATGCGAATGATAATAGTTAAAAAGTGATTTTTATTTTTTTATGACAACTGTAACGGTCCCTGCTTATAGCACATTCACACTGCCTCATTTACACTACGTTTACATTGTGAGATTAAGTTAATCTACAATTTTAATCTACGTTTACATCATACATTGGAGATTCATTTTGACGTTTGTCTTGTTATGTTTTGTTTCGTATGTTTGATAAATTTCTGTTAATAAAGCATTTAATAACAACTTAATACAAAAAAATTATAATATAAATTTATTAAATAGTTTTATAACAATAATTTAACAAAATTTTAGTTATAATTATGTACAAAATTATTATTAAACAAATTTATTAAAAATTAATTTATTTATACTTATTTCAGCACTTTCAAGTTTTCAATTTGTTTTGAATTGTTTTTAATATTTCTTTTCCAATTCTTCTAAGATCGAAAAAAAAACTACGATATTAAGCCATTTACAGAGTTGCACAGAGAAATAATTACCATTTGTAAGGAGATTAAAAAATTAAACTAGACCAAAAATAAATTAACATTTGTATGGGAAATCTGATATTAAACAACGAGATTAGTACTTTACTCTCGATTATTGCTTTAATCTACTTTTAATCTCACAATGTAAACGTAGTATAACTCGGAAAAACCTCAACATGAACAAAAAGGAAGGTGACATATATTTTTTTGTAAAAAAAGTAAACATTGTAATAAAAAAATACAAGTATGGCAACACTATTTTAGCGGCAGTATTGAAGTTTTTTTAGATTTTAGTTTATAAAATTTTGAGAATAGTTCAAAATACAAAAATAATATGTCGAATAAAAGAAAATTTTCAGAATATGAAAATGAAGATTTGCAACAAAAACGTATTTTCAATAAAAAGCATACGCTTGATTCAGATGAAGAAGACAGCGATGATTATGAAAAGTGCAGTTTAAATAATCTATTTATTTTGGTTTATGTATTTATAAATTATTGTTTTTATAGAGATAATGATAGTGAAGTAGAAGGCGAGGAAGAGGGTGTATCTAATATTCAGGATGAGGTTAAAATAACCCCTTTCAATATGCGAGAAGAATTACAGGAAGGACACTTCGATACGGAAGGGCATTACCATTGGAACAAAGATGCTGAAATTAAAGATAACTGGTTAGATAATATTGACTGGGTAAAGGTAGGTTCAGTTTTAAATACTAAAAGTTCTTAAATGGGTTTGTTATACCATTATTATAACAAACCAATTATATATAAATATGTATATATATCGTTATATTTTATTAGGTAAAAACTGATAAGAACTACTTTGAACCAGACAAGAAACAAGATTCTAATGATTCTATCGATAAGCAAGATATATTTAATGAAGCTCTAGCGTATGCACAAATTATAAATTATATGAATCCCAATGAAACTGTGGAGCAAGCTCTAAAGCGTTTGGACAAAGGAAGATTAAAGCTGTCATCTGTAGAACGTTTGCGTAGAAAAAAATTAGGAATTGTTGATGAGGCAGCAGAAAAAATAACCAGATTTACGCAATTAACTAATGAAATACTAACACGAACTGGAAATATGGATATTTACCAAGAAACTTATGCAGAAATAAAAAACAAACTAAATAACTATCCAAGCACAAGTAAAGGTATACAATCGGCTGATGCGTCTTCAGACAATTCGTTTGATATGTACGCAGATAATTTTGCAGAAAAAGAAAAACAGCATATTGATTCAAATAAAGAAAAAACAAATGAAACAAAAGAACTACGTTGGGAATACAAATTGAAGCAGGATGATGATGAAGTACATGGTCCCTTTACAACAGAACAAATGCTCACGTGGTCAAACGGAAAATTTTCCAAGGATGGTGTTTATGTGCGTAAAATAGGTGAATCGTCAGCCTTTTATTCCAGTAAAAGAGTAGATTTTGATTTATATTTGTAGTTACATTGTAGTTTATGCAATTATAATTGAATAATTTTTTTTTTGTTATAAAGAACCCAATAATATAATAATATACTTATACATATATAATACATGTTAAACTTTAATTTATTTATGTGAAAATTAATTAATTAAATTGTTCGAAATGTTTAACTTTAACTCATTGTTTTTAATTACAAATATGTTTAGCCTATAATGGATAGGAGCTATTTATTTAGAAAGCCTCGCTTGCAGACTAGCTTTCTTATAAACATCAATACAAAACATACCTATCTTCCTCCTGGTTTTAGATGAAATTATATTTAATAGATTTCAAAACAATCGCATGTAAAATATTCTAGATTTTTCGCAACATCTATTTTTTATGGCTTAAAATGAAGGCAAAAAATTAATTTTGAAGGTTTGGCACTTTGGAACTTAAGTAAATATGTAATTATTATAATAAATTTCAGAAAAGGACAATGTGACGTATAACAAAATACATTGTTAAATGGGTTTTAATATGTACTTTGTTATTGTTCTGTGGATTTTTTTATGAAATGGACTCTACTAAGATTGATTTAACTTTTAAATAAGCTTAATTATAAATTTCTGCTTCTACCTTATAGCTTCAGATTATATTACATCGTTTCTTCAAGTACTTTACTGATTATAAGCTAAAAGTACAACAATCATTTTCGGTTCACGTATGAAATTAAGTAAAACTTAATGTCTGTCCATATTGTTGGACGGAATTCAATTCACGTTTATTCGTAGTATGAAACTTGTCATAAATATAGGTAAATTAATGTGTACAGTATATACATATGTACAGTATAACCTCGATGACTACAACTAACAGAATTCAAGAGTGCTACAATAATCGAGTTTAGTTTATTGAGAGCATCTAAAATTTTTAAATCAAATAAAGAGACATTAACACGTAGTTTATTAGAAAATAATATGTTCACTTATTAATATTTATAACAATATAATTCCAATCATACTTTATGATAATAACTTGTTATTTCAGCTTGCATTTTATTGCAATTAAGATTCATTGTAACTGACTCATTTTTAGATCTGTAAGTATTAAAACTTTTGTGATAGAGGTATGGATTTTCCTCAGCCCATTATATGCATCTGTTAAGTACATTTATTGTTACGTCATTTTTGATTTTAAGTGTAATTACATGGGCTCAGTTTCCAAGTCTGAATCAATGTCAAATTGTTCAGCAAGAGACACATTTTCCATAAATAATTCGTTGACATACTTGTCCATTTTTTGTTGAGAAGTAACATCTGAAATAATTTCATGATTTCATAATATTCTTATGCACCGAGAGTTTGTTCGTAAATTCTTAAGATTGAGTATGGGACAGTAAATAAATATACATAAGTGACAAATAAAATATTTAGAATGCAAGAGAGGAAAATAGTTAGCAAAAGTTGCTAATTAATTAATTTTTAATTAATTTTTTAAGTTGTAATATGAAAGGTAATACAGGAAAAATTTAAGAGGTTGCAATAACCGAGGTGTTGCAATATTGGAGGGTTGCATTAATCGAGGTCATGCTGTATATATATATATAAAGACAAGTAATAAATATTATGCAGTTATGGATATGAAGTTAATCAAAATCTTTAGAGTGAATTTAAGTTTTACAGATTGCAATAAAATTCTTGGTTCTTTCAAAACGGCTTTCTTAGCTAATTGAGGAGGTTTTAGTCCTGCCTCCACCACCACTAACTATCTAACTATACCATATAAAACTTCAATATATCAGGTGTTGCAATGATTACATAGGCCCAAACATTCTCTCGCCCTTTTCTCATCTCTGCCTATAATGTTCTCACTTCGCCCATTCTATTACATAGTCCAAGTTTTTCTCATATATATCCTCATATGTGTTTGTTTTCTACGTCCCACTATACTTGTCTAAGCTATAATGGGACAGTGACAGAATTAAGCGTAACAAACAGCTGTTTTGTTGTCTTGGTCATGTCGTACCGATCATGCCAATTAGAAAGATACTAGATTCGATATCCGCTGGTGGAAAACCCTGTACAGAGCACACGTATCTTACGTGAAAAGAGAAATTAACAAATGGTATGAATACACTTGGTACTATTAAATGACGACATTAATTACTATTAATTAAAATTAAATATATTACCTGTAATAAGTATAAATAGTTTGTAAATTGCATAGATGAATTTAATATTAGAAATTCTCCTGATGAAGCCGAAATACGTATAGAAATATACTAAAAAATCGATCGAATAAAAGCTAAAATTATTAAAAAAAACAAAATCGACTTTTAAAAACAAAGAGATGACAGTAAATTTTTGATAGGATTCCAGCTAAAAAGATGCTTGCTGTGGAACTAGCTGGTGAAAAATGCTATAGATGAGACCAGCATTTCAAGTAGAAGGACCAGGTGACAAGTAATATGAAGACAGTGTTATCACCAACCGGCGACAAATCGATCGAGCTTGTTTATATATTCGCAGTTACATTAATTTTTATTTAAAGTATATAAATAATATACTATAGATAGATTTATAGTTCATGTTTGACAAGTGGAATTTATAATTGTATTAAAATGATTCATTTAACGTATTTGTTGGAATCTTTTATATACATACATACATTGCAAATAAATATCTTCGTTAGAGTATTTCTACTTTAGTTCTCTAGTAGAACTAAAGTTCTCACTATCACACTTTTTTTGTCCTATAGTACTTTCAATGCTCTGACCTTAATTTTTTTTTTCTTAATTTCTTAAATTTTGTTTATATATATTTATGTACATATATATTTAATAGTCTACAAAATAAAAATAATTAAATTTATTTCTTTTCTTAATTGATATCAACCATGATTATGGTGCAAACTAGTAAGAGAGTACTTTCTGACAGTTTTAGGCCGTCATACCAAGATATTTTTAAAAAGTTATTGTAAAACAAAATTAATCTTATTAACATTTATTAAATATTTATTCTATTGTTTTCGACTTTTCAACACTAGTCATACAAAGTTTATTTTATACGTATAGCTTTTTACCGGCGATTATATTCAGCTGGAGATGGTGTAGTCGTTAACGTAGTCCGCGAACATTTTAAAGACAATATCTTTAAAGATAGTTTGGGAAATTGGATATTTTAAAAATTTGCATACAATATAGAAACTTCGTGCGCCAACAGAATGCAGAGCTTACAAACTTTATTCCTAGCGATTATCTGGACTCAATCCTGCTTTTAATAGCAAAAAACTCCATATCTAATGATAATTAACTCGTTACATACAATAAATAACTTAGTATTGTTGATATAGGAAATTTAGACTTCGGAAAATATAGATGAAAGCATAATTAACAAAAATATAGGTCATCCTTAGTAAAAATTTTGCTTAAAGATGCCCTGACAATAATTAGTCGATGCAACTGTTTTGAGGTTATATAACTACATTCAAAACTTATGTTCAAATAGTAGAAATCATTTATTCTAATGGAATCCTAACAAAGAGATAAGGTTCGCCACATAATCTGAATCTCCAATAAGCATGCATCTGGACAATGTAATAATTTAACGCACGTACATTAAAACAAATGAAGCTTCGGGTTTTAAGTTACAAAGTACCTAGTTACTAAAGTAACTAAAGTACCTAGTTCTTTTGTATAACAGCATTATGAAAACAATAGCAACTTATGATATTCAGTTACTAAGTAATGCTAGTGCGGCAAATAATGAAATCCTTCAAAGAAATCAATAGAAAAATTGCCAACGAAAAGTTGATCAAGCACGAAGTCTTAAAATCTGGCATATATCTAGTTATTCTCGTTTAATAAGAGCTGATCGTCCAGTCATTAGACGTCTAGTTAGAAATAAACGAAGTAAAGAACAAACATTATTTTTCCTCAGTAAACTTACGTTTATCCCAATATAACTTAGCTAAAATGATTTAATAAGGCTTGTAATATTAGGTTTACTTCTTTTACATGCATTCAATATTGCACAATCTAATTTTGTGTAAGATGTGAAGCACTGGAACCGAATATACAAGGAAACGTGCCCAGTCGCATATAATGTTAACGCATTACTATTATGAATTAATAGTATGTAAAGTGAGTACCTATTCCCAGGGCTTCAAGTTTAAGTTTTGTACAGGGTTTGACACTCGTCATATAAAATTGCCCGCAAAAGACAGAAAACAGACTTGAAAATTGATCTTGAATTTTGACGACCTCAGGACTATGAACTCACATCGTCTATCTCTCTCCAACAACATTAAAATTATTATCAAAGATTTTTACACATTAGATCCTATAGTAAACAGCAAGAGAGGCACCTCTTCAGACGCATGAGAAAATCGGGTTTTAACTGTCTGGTTCAAAGTTTAAAAATAAAGACTTTTAGTCTTACCGTTTTTTGATTGGTGACAAATTGTGGAAAAAATCCAATATTATATATGTATATAGTTTTAGTATTAACCGAATTATGCTTTTATTTCCACAAATTGGTTATTAAACAGTAGACATGAACGCAAGTAAAGTATGCTGCAATTATGGCTTAATTCTAATTTTTTTCTTTAAATTGTCAAAAGAATAAACATCCGGCGGTTATGTCGTGATAATGGATGACGACATTTCAACGAAAAAGATGACTGGAACGTTAATTAGAAAAAGAACACGTAAGGGAAGACTGTGTCTCGGGTGGAGCTATCAAGTAGTAGGAAGATTCACTCAGCAGATATCCCTGAAAACGTGAAGTGAGTCAGGCTAAAACCCGATAACGGGTTGTTATGGCCAAAAAATAAGAAATATTACTATACATGCGTTCACTTAGTTAGTAGTTGTCCATTTTAGAAAATATTTACAATTATAAAATATTAAGTAAACAATAAGGTAAAAAAAAACATAAAAAGACGGTGAATATAAAACATGAAATTTATATTGTTTAATATTTAAATTTAGAGCTTATACTAAAGCTCTATTAGTTAGATTGCGAAAAGTTTAGAAAGTAGGGAAAGGATTAGATATGCTTGAACAAGAGCCTCTCTCGACAAGAACTGTTTTAAGTTTTTTGCTGTCTATTTTTTATATTTTAATATTTATAAAATTAAGTTATTCTCAACATCATTTAAAAAAGTAATTTTGTATATCAGACATTAAGTAGCCCTCATTGCAGAATGAATTTAATTGAAAGCAATTTCAGTTTTCAATGAAATACGAGTTAAAAAAACACTATCTAGCATAAGATTAAAGCGTTAATGATTAAGGTTCCAGGTTCAAATCATTTTTTTTTAATTTATGAATACAAATTAAAAAGTAATATAGTTATTTGGTAACTTTCATATCTCTTCTTATGTGCAAATATAATTAAACCATACCTGAGTACTTGGATAAGAACAAGCCGATATCAATTATAAAGTAAATCAGCGATACACAGCCTATTTATAAGGTTTAGAGAGCCTAACATTGGTATTTTTATACTTGTGGTGCATAAGCAATGTTGTAAAGAAAATAATAAATAAATTATATAAAGAACTTTCAGCTTAAGATAAATACCATAAAAAAAAAAATAGCCCAGAAAAATTTTGATAGCCTAAGAAATCAAAATTATTTTACTTTCACAAGTATCATAGATTTTGATGAAAAATGCGTTCCAGACTGACTACAGCTGTGTCCAGACTCATTTAAAGAATAAACATGTTTTAAGTAAAGAACCCAAATCGTAAATGCCCATAATGCTATTGTGTGATAAATAGAACTAGTTTAATTTACTAAACAACTTTCCAACGTTTCCAAAGCTACATTTCGTAATGTAAAACTTTTTGCTTGATAGTCAATTTATAAACTTTTTTGTCAAATATATTATGAAAGCATTGTCATTAACTTACAACAGATCAAAAACTTATTTGTGTAATTAATTTCAAAGACTAATTGTGAATATTTTCTCGTAATCCAAATAAATTGTACCAATTTATAACTAAAGATAAGACATGAATAAAAAACTATATTCCGGAAAATATATTAGTTGTTATATAGTTGACTTCCCCTGATAAAGGTGTTGAGAAAAGGTGAAAAGATAATTTTGCTTACGCGAAAGGTTTGACTACCTAGAAAAAGTCAAAACAATAACAGAGAATATAATGCGTTGCTATTAGACAGTTTAGATAGTGAAACTGAGAAAATAATACTGCATTTCCATAAAAAAAATTGTTTCGTATTACGTTACACAGGTCTATATGTACCTTTTCATAAAAAAAATTTAGAAAACACCTCATAAGCACATTCTTGAGTGTATTTTAATTGATAAATGACACGTATTGCTGCACAGTTATAGAGTTCATTGCGATAGTTTAAACGTGTTGTGAAAAAAAATGATCTTGCAAAATTATTATCCGCTTCAAATAGTAGTTAATATGTTTATAATTACTTATTTGTTCACACGTTTTCTAAATAGCGATGTTGTGCATCAACCGTACCACCTTGATAAATTCTTAAGTCAAAATATTCTTTGCCTCCTAAGACAGCGCCATCCTTCAAGTTCCCTTTTTATTGTAAACTATGTTAGGTTAGATTGGAGTAGCGGTCTTGTTACCAAAGCCCACCTGAACTCAAATAATGACCCGTTGTGATAGCATGGATTAGCGTTGTTTAAACATGGATCATATGCAGCGTACAAGCAACGATACCCACATTTAAGTAAAAGTAAACCGAGCAAACAAATCTTAAAACTTGATCAAGAAAAAAACTTGAGGCCCCAAAGCTTTTAAATTTTGCCTTAGCTAATGATGGATACTGACACATGAGATGAAATCCGCATCCGCACAGCCACAGCAATAGACTGTACTTTTTTGGATGTCTGAGAATATAACTAAAGTACTCTAGTTTTAAACAAATACATAATTGTAAGTCTTAACTTTAAACCGTTTATTCTTATTTCGTTTTTAGGGACTACCATGCCATTATAAAGACAATAATTCAATTTAAATTGTTTATAAGTTAAGACAATGTGAAACGATATTAAACTCTACTAATGTATGTATTCCTGCGTACAAAAACGATTAATTACTTTTTCGGCACATCGAGAAAATTTCAATACAAATGCCATTTTATTTACTATAGCTCTTATACCTCTTGAAATTGCATATAGTCTTATTGAAAATAGAACTGTTTTGAAGGTAAAGCAAAGTAAAATATGGCAAAAATTACCACAAAATTTTAACTATAAACTGTTAAACTTTTGAATATTTTACTATTACACTCGTCTAATCAATTCGCTAATATTATATTAATTATAATTTAAATTTAAATACTTAATGTATTAACTTTTATGACGGATTGATTGTATTGGTTTTATTTATTTTAAATTTTTCATTAAATATTAATATTTAATCATTTAAAGATTTTTTCATAAACGGTTTTTGTTTTCTACTATAAAACGTTCCGTCACAAAGAAATATTTCTAACAAAAAATAAAATAATATAATCATGTAAACATATATATACTTGCACATGATATATACTCATATACATATATCTATGTATGTATATATATAATATATGTATGTAAAGATTTATAAATGTATAAAAATCTTTTTGTAATTTTGGTAGGAATTAAATTTATGATTATATTATGGATTCTATTTTTACTGCATGTTTGTTTTTCATTATTAAACTAAATTTACAAAATACATTGAAATATTCCATAGAAAATTTTATTTTTATAATATAAACTAAGAAATTTGGACTTATGAAAATCCAAAATGATTTTTATTCAATTTTTATATTTCATTAAAATATGAGATTGTATTTAATAAAACTTTAGCAGTTGCGATTACAATTTATTACAAACATTATTAAAATAACGCATACGTTGCATTTATAGACAGTACAGCCTGTCTATAAGACAATTGAAAACGTAATGTACTGACCTAATTTATTTATATCATTTATCATTTTTTAAAAACTTTAAATATTATTGTTTTATATAGACCCTGTTCATTGAAAGCAAATTGTAAGCATTATTAATTATCGCATAATGTTCAATTCTAAACTATTAAAATATTATTTTGCAATGAATAAGAATTTACAAATTTATTGTAGGAAACTTAAAATTTAATTATTTTTCTTTAAATCATATAATTTACAATTACATAAGTTAAATATTTATTGATTTCCTTGCAAGGGCATCTTTTTTAGTATTTAATAATTTATATGCTTACTGTCTGCTTAGCTTAAGCAGGCAGTTGCAATTTCTTGCCTTTTAACACTTTAGTAATATACAAGTAAAAGAAATCGCAATACAAAATTGTTTGTACAATACCAGCAAAGATCGCAATAAGATCATAATATGACTCCACGATATAACGGAACACCCAGTTAAGCAAATAAAGTGCACGATATGAGCCCAGAGCAAACAAATAATGACTTGTTATAGACTCAGCTTCTCCTGTCTTACTGACCATAAACAGTTGCGGTAATATTGCCACAGATTCCAAGTAAATTGAGAAGGTCCACAATACTTCCATTACATTAAAGACATGATTGATAAGCAATGAAAGTAACACACATGGTATCAACAGAAACTCAATACGGAATGAATCGTGATTGTGGTCGTAAGTTGCCTTGAATTTAACGTACATAAGATAAACTGTAGCACCCGACGCAGACAAAAATAACACTTTCATCAATGAATTATACAAGCTAACATAGGTAGTGAATAGATCAAGGTAGCGCGTAAAAAACACTAAAGCGAATAATATCTGTGATTTGCCAGATATGCCAGCACAGGAACGCGTTTTCCATATTTTCAGCAATAAGACTATTATTGCAAATACATGAGACAAGTCACCAGCTAACCGAAAAACATTCATATTGATATTGTGTTTAACACGTAGAAATTTGTGTTAAAATATTCGTTTGATTTTTATAGATGTATCCAGTCTGGTGCTTCTGGATGATTTGTAAACTTCAAAACTTTCCGGCTTTTTGTTTGCTTGCTTTTATTTTTTGTGCGAAATCTAATAGCTCAACTGTGTTGCGTATTTTAATCCTCGTTATTCTGAAAATAAAGAGATTGCTTTTAGTTTAAAAGTTTTTTAATTTAAAATAATTAAAACAAATTTTGCCTACGAATTAAAACTTTTCTTCTCTACCGCTTTCGTTTCTACATGGAATGTCAAAGTAAAACACAAAAATACACGAAAGTAATGACGTGGAAAACATTAAGAATAGAAAAAAAATTAAGAAACGCATGTGTGGAGAAGTTAAACAATTCTTATCTGCACAAGCCTTCACATTAATTCATAAAATTTATGTGACGGGTTGGGTGAACTCTTTGAAATATTTTCAAATATTTGTGCATTTAAATCACATATTCCAATTAATTCTAAATATTTACATATAAACAAAATGTTCTAAATAGCAACACGTAATTACAGAATAAACTTACCAAAACAAATTCCAATGTAATATGAGAAAGTACACACAAATCTTTTAATACATAAACTTTTCAGAACTTCCAATAATTACATTTTTCAATATCAGCTACCATTCAACACAAATTATATTGCATATTTTTTTCTTATTTTATGCGGCACTTAAGAAGTAAGAAACACCCAAAGCAACAATACAAAACTTTAATTTTATTTGACATATAATAAGAGTTGCCATCACTTCGCAATTGTTACATTTATGAAAGTACCAATATAACTCTAATTAGCAAATGCATATATAACAAAAATATTTGAACATTTTTATTTAAGTAGTATTACTTCCCAAAATAAAATGCATACAAATTTATTAAAATTTGAAATGAAAAATTTTATTTAATTCATATGACATAAAGGTAACTATTTTCGCAGTAATGAAAACACTACAAATTGCAAACATTGTTGTCTATCCACTTACAGGGCAATTCTGGCAATGATCTTTCAACTCGCGATACTCAAAAATCTTTCGAAAGATCGTTTGAAAGATGATTTGTATTCTGGCAGCAGTCTTTCGAAAGATAAAAAGCTTTTTTCAGTCTTTTAAAAGACTAAATGAAAAATTTGCTATTGAGCAGAATATATATATCGCACACTCTCTTCAAAGGAGGCACAACTCGAAATTCGTCAATTTTTAGAAAACGCAAAAAATATTTTGCAGCGTAGTATTCTTCCTAACAAAAAGAGATATATATTTGTTTTTTTTGATAATTTACAATAATAAAGCAAAGAGGTATTTTGCGTGTTGGTGGACAGGTAAACTATAAGAAAGTTTCATACATTAACCCAAATTGACGAATTTCAAGTTGTGCCTCTTTTGAAGAGGGTGTGTGGTATATATATTGCGACCATAATATATACACGTTTGTTAATATTTTGTATATATATTTAATAATATATTAAATAATATTACATTAATGTGACAAATGTTCTAGTTGGCCAAGTCTAGTCTAGTTGAGTCCATTGTGATAGAAAAAAATGTTGCAGTCTATATATTGAAAGTTTAGATTTCTCATATTTTTTACAGCAAGACGTAAAAAATACATGCAGTGTTGTTTTAAATAAAAATTTATCTATCAAAATTAGTTTTAAAAACAAGAGTGAGTCAAAAAGCAAGCAGAGATAAAGATGTTCGTTAATAGAAATAAACGAATATAAAAATAAGAAATATATCCATTACTATATCATTTTCTTCTTAATAAAAATTATAAAATCGGGAATCTGGTAGCCATTATGCAAAGGGAACACTTTTCATAATGAAATATTACTACAAGTATGCTTTTGGATATGGGTGCACACCCCGTTATGCTCCTTCGGATACACCAACGCTCGAAAAACAAACCTATCTGGTTTAGACACAATTGCAATAATAGCAAAATGTCCGTCCGAACGCAAATGCGAAAGACCCAAACAAGAGTGAAGATAGAATTTATACTTTTTGATTTAATTACTTTTTCAATCACTTCAAAAGTGTTGAATATATCAATTTTAAAAATTCACTGTCTAGAAATCTTATAAAAACAAGTTTCAATCAGGGGATTTAATTTATTCTTATAGAATTATGTTATATTTTTATTTATATTCATATTCTCATATATTGATGCTCTAATGGATTAATGCCTAGTACCAAATACAAATCGTACCGATGAAATTGTAAAAAATTAATCAATTTCTGTTATAGACGTTCAATCGTTTTCTTTTTACTGATTATATATTTACCCTTTAAATTCTTCAGCTACTTTATCGCATACTTTATTGCAAGCTGCTAAATACAACTTATTAGAATATGGAGGAATTTGATGAAAGGACGAGGAGGGAAAATGTCTGCGTGTACGTGTAATTCTAACTGAAACTAATCTGAGTTCGTCCAGTTCAAGTAAGTTTCGATGAAACGCAGGCATTACTTAATAAAGTTAAGTTGGTGTGTGTTGGAATATGAAGACATATGGTGTTATGAGCAGTGGATCTGCAATTAGAGATCGCGACATGTAGTTCAGATGAAACCTTATAAACTGTTTTCCATCATTTGCATCTACTTAAAGAATTTATCAGTCTTTATCTTAGTAAAATGTCCATTAATACCAGACATTACTAAATGTTTTGAAGTAGTGTCTCACACATTCTTCAATCTATTAACGATCACACCAAGATTTTAAATCTAATTTTAATTCTTGTTAGTAGGTTAATGGGGTTCTCAAAGACTCGGCAAAATAATTATTGCAAAATTTGAAATTTTACTCAATACTTTTTGGTATAAAACAATGGAATAAACTGGATTAGTTTTCAACAATTTTTTACAGTTCCTTGTTTAAGATCAAAATCGTATAATCTAGTCTAAAATATTTACTAAATATAGCTGCACTAGATTATCAGAAACAAAAGAATTCATTAACTTAAAACACAATCACAAACCAGGAACAAACTTTAATAAGGAACAAGTTTCCAAGAACGGCCGTGTCTACTTTCCTAAGCCACTCGTCGCCAGCGACAACCAAATACCGTTTACCACTTCTAAGGGACTTCACAAGCAGGTCCCAGCGGGCTAAAACAATAACAATAATAACAATAAATTTTAACGCAATGGTATTAGCATTTTTTCCAACTTTTTAAAAAAATTTATTTACTGCACTTCACTATCAGTCATTTTGTCAATTTTCTATATTCCAAATCAATTTATGTGACGCCTGTAGTACAGAACGGTTTTCGTATAAATATACTTGCACAAATCAAGTATTTCAGTTACATAGTTTTATAGACTAAGTTATAGTTGATTAATAGTGCCTAATAGTGGGACCATAAGGACAAAAAAGTAATATAATGGAAAAAATTTTTTATTTAAAATTTATTAAATATTTACTTAGTATGGTGGCATCGAATAGTTTGGCGGTGGTGGGCCACGCATAGGCGGAGGCCCACGAATTGGTGGTGGTCCACGCATTGGTGGTGGTCCTCCCATCATAGGTGCACGGGGTATGCCCCTGCCTACGGGTGCCATATGTTGTTGAGCTGGGCCGCCTACGCCACGTACAGGCCCAGTTAGACCTGCTGGCACTGTCGCCATGTTAACCGGAACGCCACGACCGGCTGCGCGACTCATACCTGGGCCTGGACCACTTCCTGGAACTGGAACACGCGGTAGTCCTTCTTCTGGTGGAGGTGGACCTTCAACAGTTAATGAAACAATATTTTCCCCTCTCAGTAACACAAAGCCTAACACTCGCTTTTCTTCGCGTTCTGGCAGTTTTTGGTTTTTAGAACGAATCCGTCGGAACTCTTCACAATCCCCAAGTATTAAGTTCATATGTTTGTCGAATGCTTTGAATGTCCCAATAAATATTCGTGAATCCTGCAGTATGATGCGCACTCTGTAGTTCAGGTGCTGAACCATTTTATTGTTTTTGCCAAAAGTCTGAAATGAGAACGCGCACATGTAAATAAATACAACTCAATTTGCCGCAAATGTAACAATGCTAATATTAATCAATATTTGTATTTTCGATATATGCGCTTACCATTTTGAAATGATTGTTTAGAAAATAATCCTACTAAACGGTACAAAACAACGTAGTTTTTTAATAAACACTATATATCTTGCATTAGAAGCACACCGAATGCCGCTCTCAAAGCATACAATTGCAATCAAAGCGAACGAGCAAAAAGAAACAGGGCGCTGCCAAATAGAAAAAACCGCAGAGCTTACAAGACAATATTCGTGGTTAATATTAACAATTTTAATATGCGAGTTCGAGTAAATTGAGGTAATAAATTAAAATTTCCTAGGGATTTTTTGCACTGCACTTATGTAAATATTTATTTATTTATTGCACTTATTTATTATTTTTGATTAAAATTACAAATTTATTTATTAAACATCTCATAGAATGTTCACATTAGTAACATCTAATTTACCTAATTTTTATCTAATTTACCTTAATTTACTATTTCCTTCAATTTACCATCAATTTACTTGAACTCGCACACGGCCGAACGTAATATGATAACATTAAATGTAGCCACAAAACTCATAAATGCCTCGTAAATTGTGTAAATTTAAATAATAACGTGAATGATTTACTTATATTTTTACCAATTAAATCAGCTGTTCGTGTAAACTCAGTTGCCGTTTTAATCTAAATAAAATTAATATCGAAAATATGTGAAAAAAAAAAATGGTTTACACAAGCAACTGAAAAAATTTAATTATTAAACCATATAAACCTCTGCAACAACAACAAAAACTCATTTTATATTATATTAATTAATTGAATTTTTGACTAACCATACAGCTGTTTCGAGTATTCCCAAATACCCATTATCAGTGCGCTTGGAAATAATTCCTCTATTTAATTAATTATTCATAAATAACTTTTTTTTGAGACTGCTAGTACTAGAAATCGAACTCGTGCCCTGCCAAATCTGTAGCTCAGAGTCAGCGTTCATTAGCCAACTGACCCAAAGCCGTACTTGACTTTTATGTTCGCACATTTTTCTGGAGTTTTGTTAATTTGCTATGAAAATTTTATTAACAAATTCACTTGCTGTGTTTATATTAGAATGAAATCATAAACCAGCTGTAGAATAATTGAATTAATTAATTATATTTTTATTTTTTAATCGTTAAATTTCAAATCTCTCTATTCTGTTTCTTAAATAAATAAAATTATATAATATAATTAGCGACTACAAAACTGCAATCACCCCTTTTACACTTATTTTGCGAATAGCGAAACAAAAGAAAAAACCGAAAATAATTATTTTTTCTTGTAATTTGCTTGACGCTGTCATGTTTTCCCTTTATTTAGAATTAATTTCTATAAATAATTAATGAATAACTTAAAAAATTTCTTTATCTCTGTTTCAAATTTCATAAATAACATGATTTATTATGAGTAATTATAAAAGATTTGTTGCTGCATTTTTTTTAATTTCGCTTTGTAGTCATGATTCTTACATTGATAGTTTAAATAGTATTTAAATAAATGTGCCTTTAGCTCGCACAATTTTTAATAGATTAATAATGAATTTTGCATTATAGGCCGCGCCTAATTGTTGAAAAATCTGACAGAATAATGATTACAATAACAATGTCAAATATACTCTCATTAGTGCACTCAAACTGTTTATTTATATTATTTATTTATATTATTAACATATAATTTAAATAAACGTTTTTGAGTTTATACATCAAATAATTAAACACTCAAATGAAGGATAATAAAGAAACGTATCTAAAATTTATTCTTTTAACTCAAATTACCACTATAATCCTAAGACTGCTGTCCTAAACCACAGACTACCACCATAAACCACAGATTGCTGTTATAATCCATAGATTGTATCATAAATCATAAACTGCTATCATGATCCACAAACTGCTATCATTAACCACAGACTACCACCATAAACCATGGACTGCTGTCATAATCCACAGACTGCTATCATAATCCACAAACTGCTATCATTAACCATAGACTATCACCATAAACCACAGATTGCTAACATAAACTGGTATCATGATCCACAAACTGCTGTAATTAATCAAAGACTATCACCATAAACTAAAGATTACCACCTTAATCCACAAACCTCTATCATATCCATAGTGTGCTATCATTAACCACAGACTACCACCATAAATAATAGACCGCTACCATAATCCACAGACTGCTGTCATTAACCACAGACCAACACCATTTCTTTGCCAAATCTACAATGAGGAATGATCTATTATGGAACATTAATTTGCTTAAGTTAAGTCTCAAGACTGCTGCCCTCGTCCTTTATTGCGAAGTATGAGATTTCTTCGCTTATATCAGTGTACATTTCAGTACCTCTACGATATTACCCTTTTAATTCACTTGCATTTGCTGCATAGGTGGAATACTTTATTATTTCAGTTCAAAATACAAAAGGCTTTTATATATAACGTTTTTGAACATTTTTGTATATACCTTAACTCTACTGGACACATACAAAGTAATAGGAAATCTTATTAACGCTAATATGGACCCCACAACTCTGCGAGATGTAATAGAATAACATCCACATACGTCAGAACATAGCTTTGCGAATTGTGAACCGCTGTCATCGCATCTCGCATAACCCAAATCTTCATGTAGAATCTAAAATACTTCTTATAAAAAAGCATAACCAATTGCTGTTCAAGCAATATCTTCTTACGTGTCACATAGACCCATATCCCAATGACATCGTGCTATCGTTGATACATTTCTTCATATAATGAATATATTGACAAATATTGCAATTGAGCTAACATCACTGAGGTCGATTAGAAACGTGTACTGACAGCCTTGCACATAGGTTGTCACGGTTGCACTTCAACAAAGTTCGTAATAGGCCTAAGCCTAACATTTCGAAAGAAGAAAGACGCCTTCCTCGTACGACAAAAACTGTCCTAGCTCAATACAGTTTCGGATATAACCAAGTGCTAAACAGTTGTTTGTCACGCATAAATGTGTTATTTTCCAAAACAATGCACACACAAACTTGAGTCCAATTGAACTGTGGATCTGCCCTATGGAAGTGCCTAGGTTTCTCCGCTTTGGTGCTACTTTAATTTAACTACCCAATCCAATCTTACTCCTAAATAATCTCCTTCTCTCTCATACTACCATTACCTATCCACATCCTTACCCATGTATTCTACTTGTAGTTCCATTCATATTATCTGTTTTACTGATCCTTGTGGACTACAATATACAATAACAACAACATAAGATGTTTTTTATATTAAATATTTATATTACTTTACCATTTCTAGAGATTCACTCGGAAAGTTTTATCTTCTTTTCAAAGATTATAATCTTCGATTTAGACATATTAATCACTTTAATAAATTATGTTTAGGATCTTTTTTTTATTTTTGACTTTATTGAATAGATATGGAAAATTTGCAATGGTAAATTAAAAGGTTTTCTAAAAACTTAATATAATTTGGTCATACAGATCAATTTTTAAACACGCAAATAATTAATTATAAAATAAAAAATGAAAAATGAAAAATAAAAAAGGAAGGAGTATAATAAACACGTTGGAATATTTTTATTCATTTGTTACAACTAATTTTACATTTTATGTTATCTTGTATATAATAATGCTAAATATTATAATTGATTCTGGAGTTTTAATGTATTTTTCATCATAGTTTCGAAATTCTCATAAATCTCATTTGAATTTCTTTAAAAATTTCTTTAAATTATGTAAATATTTATTATTGATTTTACACAACACAAATAACAATTACAAACTAAACTTAATAACAATACTCAATCAGTACATTTATTTTTCTATATACAAATAATATACGTACGTAATAACTTAGTAAAGATTATATGTTTTGCAGGATATGCTTAACATTGATAATAATAACAAAATATTAATTTTAGTATTCAATATAAAATTTTATTATGGTATTTAGCTATAGATACAAAAATTAGTTGACAATGATTTTAAAAGACAGAACTAAATATCGAAGCTTTTCGAGTGACATTTAGCCAAATTTTGAAATAGAATACTATGTTATTTTATAAATGACTGTAATTAACATATATAGATAAATTACATGCAAAACGGCTCCTTTTGGTTTTTAACCGGTTTATTAAATTTTATAAAAAAATATTTGCATTAATATTTTCAATATAGTAGTAATAAATGAAATTTTTTTTTTTTATTTTTTCGTTAGTCTCATTCTAGATGTAAATTATCAGTCATAACTAGTACGTAAACGAGCGGAGAGACTTAACTGATTATATTTTTTTTACGTTAATGTTAATGTTAATGTTTACAGTGCAAATATCCTTTGACATTTTCTTATTATATGTATATTCCCTTAAAAATTTTGTTTACGTTTGTTGCAAATAATAAACAAAACCTGATTGTGTCTTGTCTTTTACCGATCTAATAATTATTATTTGATGTAAGACAATTATGTTTTCTAAATTTGATATTTAAAGTTTGACGTTTCTTATTTTTATTGCAACAGAACAGTTCATCCTATTTTCGATTCATCCTATTTAAAAGTTGAAAGTTCGTCAATGAATTGATTATGTGAAAGTAAAGTTGCTTTTGTATAACACAATGATGTAGGAGAGGATTTTGAATTTGGCATATATTAGGCCCACATTGTAGAGAGATCCCATACTTTTACAACACGATCTTGACCAACAGTTAAAAACCGTTTATGTTCTTCATCGAGATCCATATAAATGATTGAATGCTTTGCATCATGAAATGAAGCTAATGATGGTCTCCTAAAAAAATATATAATTCAATTAATATTTTTAATTTAACGTGATCATTAAAAATATATGTGTAGGTATACTTACTCAACTGTTTGCAATTGTTTATAACATGGGTCACAACAGCGTACATCGAACTCAAAGCCCATTATTGGTATATTGATTTTATTTGTTGAACAATTGTCACAAACAGCCTTTCCACAATGACGACAATGATGTTGTCTTATGCCTTCGGTTTTACAATTTTAAATTTACACAAGTAAAAAATTATTAACAACAATATTAAATAAGTAAAAATAATAGAAATAAAATATTATCGAATATTTATAAAATCGCAAGAATTTTATATAACGCTTATATTTTATTAATTTGATTAATATCCGCTCAAATTCGACTAATCTAAACGCAAATCGTAGTTTTCGGATGAGTCTTTATCTACAGGAGATAAATAAAATGCAGCATGGAACAGGACTCATAAAAAAAAAGAGTGGACTTGAAAATTTCTTGAAACAAAGCTACAGAAGTTAGATTTACATCTTTCATAAAAAAATTCTTATTAGAATTTCGAGATTTGATCTTGGCCTTATTTACACTATAACTCATTCTGTTTCCAATAATAAAAATCTTAATTACAATATTGAATATCTTTCTTTAGTTAAACGTAGGATTTGAGGGAAATGGCGTTTAAACGGATAAGCCTCATTTAAGGAACATCTTATATTTCTTTTAACTATAATAAAGAATAACAATCAACATAATTTCATTGAGAGCTCATCTCCAAATGGATGGAAATCATTATCCTTGGATACCATTATCTGTGAGCCCCACAGAAAATAATTCCTTATTAAAGTTTTCTTATAATGTTTATGTACTTATGTTTACATGAGACATAATTTGTATGTCTATATGTATATCATTTTAAGAATTAATAACTTATCGGAGACTTTAGGCGAAAGAGAACGTTTAATAAATAAATCAGTCTGAAGATGATTATAGACTACTGTGTAAATAAATATAATTATTTTATTGGTGACAATAACACATAATTTTTAATAATAATTTAAAAAGTTATGTATTATTTAAAAAATGCACCAATTAGCCCTTTTAAAACTATATATATAAATAAGTTAGTAAAAACCATATGGATAAAATTTTTTACAAAAGAATATTATTAAGCAATATTTAAATAGAAGTTCTTCTATATGAAATGCAGATATGTGATTATCGTCGTTGTACAAACAAAAAAAAAATTGAATACCCCTTGCAGCAATTAACTATACATATGTATACATAAAACACATTTATTTAATAAAGAGGCGTTTACATCTATCTATTTAAAATCTAATTGTATTAAATATAACTATGTTTGTACTTATAAATAATGATTTGTCATAATAAATGATCCGTACTTACCAATTTGCCGTTGATCCATCATTGAACGAAAATTCCAAAAAAATGGACGTGAACACAGTTGACAATTATTAGTTTCAATCCAACCGGGTACTTCCTTACGCATTGCATTCATTTCCCAAAATACAACGACAGAGTCTTCGCCACAGCTAATTAATTGCTGTGTATGATTTGCATAAACTAATGATGAAACCTTATTACTAAATAAATTACATTATAAGTAGACAATACTAAACATAAATATGATTAATTTACTTATGCCCCTGCAATTCGTAAATCGTGCCACGTTTACCACCAACATCCCAAACAATAACAGACTGATCGCATGAACCACTAAAGAGTAGTTGTGGTCCTTCAACCCACTTAAGACAACGTATGCTGGCTATAAAGCAAAAATACTATGTATAAAAAATAAATATATAATATTTAAGCATTTCGTACCGGTATGACCCTTAAATGTTGTTATTATTTGTACTCCTTGTAAATCACAACGCAACATCGCAATTTGTCCAGCATAGTCACCAACGAATGCGTATTTAGCCAGTGCATCAAATCTAATATATAAAAAACAGAACATATATATATATAAAAAAGCATACAAATGTTATGTATAGCATTTAGTTACTGTAATGCAGTGCAAGGTGTTTCAAAATTATAACTTCCAATTCGTTTTCCAGTGTCTGTACAATGATAAGCAAAAAGTTTGTCCTTACTGCAAGACAATATCCAGCTGTGTGCTGTAGAAAAGACAACTGCAACTACACGTGCTTGATGTGCTAAATAATCTTTTATAAAGGATAAACGATTACAGTCCTCTGAAAGCGCATATTGAGTTACTGTGCCATTTTCTTGCCCTACATATATTTGCCGCGCGTTGGGTACATAATCCACGGATGTACAACCTGATGGCATATATTGACAAATACTTGGCCAATATTGACCAGAATCGCGTTTTAACCACACACGGATTGTTCTATAGCAATAAAAATAAAACAAAATAAAGTAAATTTTCTGAATTTATACAATAGTGAAACAAAAAGAAAATTTTTGTGCTAGACATACTTGTCATCTGAAACACTTATGACACCATTTTCGCCAGGAATTAGTACAGCCGCATTCACGTCATCACTGCTTCCTTCTAACTTGCTTAACAATTCCGGTTTTTTTGTGGTACTGAAACGGTCGTTGCTATTACGTTGTGCTGGTTTAATTTCCGCAGCCATGCTAATGTATTCCGATTTCTGTATGCCAATTCGTTAATAATGGGATTCTGTTTAGTATTCTTTTGTTTATTTAATCGATACGTTAGAGCTTGCACCCAATTTATCGCAAAATGATTCACACAATTCACACCTAAATGCCGAACGAAGAAGGACTGCGATAATTCTTACACACCCAAAATAGTACAAATAATTCAAATGAATAACACCGATAAGCGTTGTATGAAATATCGTAAAATATGTTTAACAAGTCAATTTAATTGCTATTTTCTTATACTGTTTTACTTTCTTTTTATTCCATTCTAATTAACAACGACTTAAAATCCGCTGTTCGGAGAAATAAAATGCAAAATATGCGAATGAATGAAACTGAAAAAAGAATACAATGAAACGTCACTGCACATATAAAGCAGTGTTTTGAGCTGTTCAAATTAAAAAAAGTAGCCGATAAGGCAATTGTACATAATTAATATATTAACTTTTTAAATGTTACTCATATTAATATGATTTTTAAATATTTTTAATTCTATTTTGAAAAATTTCATAGCATGTTTAAGTTTTTTTTTCATACTTCTTGATTCTTCTTCTTGAGTTAGTGCTATTACGCACTTTCACTCTATAATGGCTGGGGGGCTTATCTCTACCCCACACTACGCTTTAACTAGGCTAAGAAATCATATCATTTATTTGTTTTTTAGTTGATGACGGATTTTAAATCAGCATATCTTCCTGAGAGTCCAGAAGTGGACTCTCAATTTTTAAGTTAGAACGAAATTAAGAAAAATGTCCTTAGTTTCGTTGAAACGAATGTTGAAATAAAGTGACAATTCAAATGCAACTATGCGTAAAATACATTTTTAGCAAAAAATAAAGTTGAGATAACGAAAAAGGAATATTTTTTTTTAAAGAAATGTCAATGACAGTTGACTTTAATGAAACCGGGAAATTATTTTGAAAGTAATGCAAATTTTTAAATTTGAATATAGAGAAAAAACTGTGACTGTTTTTAATTTAAAATAGAGTAAAAAATAATAATTCACATACCTTAAATTCACTAATACTAATAAAACTACTGAATTAGCATTCAGTAGTTTCCTCTAAAGTTATAATAATAAACTTTTAAAATTTCTCAGTTACAAATGGTGTTTAGGGCATGTAATTTTTAACATTCGATTTGTAAACAAAAAACATATGATTTCCTTAATTTGGTGCAGTATGAACACTTTCCAAATGAACTTAATTTCATTTTTACGAAATTAAGGAAATTTGGCTGTCTGAACATAGTATTAAGCAAAATATGTGTTCAAACAAGCTATTTTAATTAATTACTACAACTATTGTTCATTTCCCCCAGTTAGGCATATGGGCTCAATAATGTTTCTAAATCTGACTCTATTTGATGCTTCTCTGTAGATGTCGTTCAATTATTTATATCACTTTTAACCCTTCTTCTTCAGGTTTTCGCTGGCGCACCAGGTCTTCTGCTACCTTGTGGATTCCAAGTCAACGCTTGACTCGCTATGTAATCTCACGGGTGTTTAAGCGTATGGCCTATCCACTTCCACTTTCTTCTTTTTATCTCATTTTGTGGCACTTATTGAGTCGTTTGCTTTAGCAAGCGTTCATTTGATATTCCATCTGGCCACCATATTTTTAGAATTCTACGTAGACACTTGTTGACAAAACTTGTATTTTTGTCAGGAAATATAAATCTTTGACTGCACTTAAGTCATCTTCTTAAACCTATTCACAATAGTGTTAAGACGTCATACAGAAATTGCGCCTTCCGACATTTCAGAAATATTTGAATAGTAATTAATAACTGGCTTCCAAAATAATTTGCACTACATAGCGGGACCAAGTAATAATAAAGTATATGAACAATTGATAGATATATGGGTGAATGGAAAATCACAGTTTTTAAATTTCAGAAATCACGAATAAATTTCTATTTTATAGCAATCAACAGAACAAGACTTGCAACGGAAATTTTATCAAGAAGAGCTTGTATAACTTCGCCTCTACGTAACCTGTTGTGTAAATATGACACGCTAAAATGTCGTTAATGATTATAGTGAATGTTTTCTACTACAGGAGTGATTAAAAAATAAACCTGAGAAGGCTATATTAAAATTATTAGCGAAACGAATAAATCCCTACAAAGACGAATGCATTTATGTAGATACTCCCAAAAACACAACATATTGCATTTAGACTGTTTTGATCATATGGAAACAAAGCCATCAACAACTAACATCTGAGCATCCGATGTTGATTGACCTAAATCGATTACCACTGAAAACATGTTAACCGAAATAAAAAATGTTCCTTGTAGAACCCCCTGTTAAATACGCTGTACACAGTTACATAAGGTCCCGAAAATATTTGAGGAGTAATTAGGTGTTCACACAGAGTACTTTATGGTTATGGTTATATATATTGCCGAAGCAATGCAAAATTGTGCTGGAAATGAACCATTTTCATAAGAAATATTTACAACTCAGCATGAATTCGAATAACATATCCCATTAACTTTCATGATAACTTTAGACTAAATTCAAAATATAGATAAAATAAAAATTATTGTAAAATTTATTAATTTTTTTTTAATTTTTATTTTTTAACATTAAAAAAAGTTTTAACCAATTAGCCTGAAGAAAACATTCTACTAACTTCAACGCAGTCGCAATGTGAGAAAATTCAGCCATAAGACACTACGATATATATATATTTTATTATTTCTATGTTTAAAATTTTATTCTACAAAAATTTTAATCAAACAAAGTATTAAGTTAAATAAATTATCTGATTCTAATCACCTGAAACCACTTATTGCAGACGAAAAATATCTGAAGCTATTTTTCACTTATTGTCTGCAGTCGTGTCAACGAAATTTTGAGTGAAAGGCTTCGTTGGTTGATTATAGTATTTAATAGTACCAGCCGCCTTGATGATTATGGTTGTCCCTCCTGTCAGACTTTCATCTAAAATTAGTTGAGCATCAAAATTTGTAATATTGTGTTCTGACGCTGGTAACTCTAAAAAGAAACTGAATTGCGTTCTTCCCAAAATATTGGTTTCCATTCCATATATATGTAACGCTATCTAAATACAAGCTTCCAACTTGCTGTGGTAGTAGAAACAAATAAATTAATAAAATACGATTAAATATGTAAATTTACTGTACTAAATACTTGTTACATTTTTTGCGTATATAATAGAGTAACATGCAAGTGCGGAATTAAGAGTTACTTTATTTGGAAAAATGGTAGTAAATAAAACGGGGCTTTACACATGATTTTCAAATGTATAAACCGAAGTATTACTTTGGAAAATTAATTAAAAATAAAATTCTTAGAGCTACTAATATTAGAGATCCTAATAATTGATCTAACTAACATGACGCGTCTTGTCTACAGTAGTATAATAATGAATAGTAAACGAACGCGCGATTTCGGGACAATTTTGAATTTTCGCTCGCAATTCCTTGAAAAAAAAGTGAAGTTAACAATAAGTGGTTTTATATAGTAAAAGAAATAATAATTACGTTATCCATTATAATAAAAAATACAACCAAATGGAATCGAAATTTATACGACCAATTTGATTAAACAACTTAACGAAACAATTTTTCAAATGCAGTTGTCATATTAAGAGTACTCATTCACAATAGCAACAACCAATCATGGTACGGCATGTTAGATAAAGCACTTTTAGTGGTTCGATTCTATGCTTAAAATGAAGTATTTATCCAAAGAAGATTTTATGTAGAACCGAAACTTAAATGAGCACGAAGCAAAATACAAATACACTCTCAGAAATTGCCCAAATACCATCTCAAAACGCACGATTATTTTCAATTTCAATATATTTAGGTCCGTATACGCTCCGAAATACTCCGTAAAGCAATATATTTAACTTAATGCTGTAGAGGAGCTGTTTGTCCCAGATGGAGTCTTCAATCTCGAATAATGCTGTGGCTATAAACAACCATCATTAAACTGTTTTTATATGGCAAGCAACTAAAAATGGAAGCTATATAAAATTGTTTGATACGATAAGAAGGCAGTCTCGGAAATTGTTGCAGAAGAACAGCTTTATTTTTGAATTAATATATCTTTACATAGGGTCCAAAATTTAATCATTTGTTAAAGTAGGGAATAATATTTTATATTGAATTAAATATTCACATTTACTTGTTTTTGTCGAAGTGAGACATTTGAGGCCGATGTAAAACTAAAATAATAATATTAATATTTTTTGACATTTACTATTGGTATTCAGAATGTCTGTGCATCGTTACATGTGCAAAATTATTTGATTTTACAAAAATAATTCCCTTTCTTATGATTCTATACTTGAGATTTGCAAGACAACATTCCCATATATTCAACACCATTTACCTTTTGCATATGTGAATTCTCTTATTACTTTTTTTACTGTTCGCTGGGCATATGAAATATATGTCATATGTTTTATATGTAAAATAAGTTTATTCAATAACAACGACATAATCTTACTTTCATTAACATAAGTAGTTTTAGCTACTGCGGAAACATGATATAAGACCTAGTACTATCATCCACAAAAAATTTACATAGAATTTCATATAAAAATGTTTTTTTACAATGTCTATAATGTTGACTAAAAATTTCAAAATTTGTGATTTAAATTAATCAATATGATATAGGGTAAGTTAAGTTGTTAAATGTAAAGTTAGAATTTTTGAATTAGCTATTACCATTCTATGTAAATGTAATATTTTTTCACTTTTCAAATAAGTTTAAAATACATGAAAAGAGTTACACAAAAAACTTCTTTATAATCAGAATAAATCTTCTCCAAGTTAAATTCTGTTCAAGTGCGTACTTTGATAGTTTAGCAAGTTTAACATGCTAAATCGAAGTATATTAAATTTATCACGGAAATGTATTAAGATAGTGTATATGTATTGTTTTCATTGAAGTTAATATTTTCATATTTTTATATATCAGCAATTAACTCACAATCGTTAGTATTGTAATGTAAAAGTAAACCATTAATTGAGAAACTAAACTAAAGAGAGACATAAAGCCAAATTTATGAAAATTATATACATGTAAATAATAAAAAAATAAGAATTACCTTGTAACTATTATCATTCACATTTTAAACTGAAACTCGATAAATAATAATTAAATTTATATTCTATGTCTCAATTTTATGTGCCTTTTATTTTTTCGCACAAAAATAACGTTTAAAATTCTTCTATTTATTTTAAAACGCAGAAAGAACTATTACTTTTGTGTTGCATTTATAAAAATCATGAATAACTGGCACTGACCTGCCGAATAATTTTTAAACGAAAATATAAAATGCATTTTTCATACAAGGCAGTTGTTTTTGTGATTTCATACAAAATGTTTTTAAGGGTTTTTAAATTAATATTAAAGGCATTATACAAACTTTTAAAATAATCTAAACATTTTTTAAAAGTGTTTATTAAAAATATAAACCTATAACATATTATCAATTTAAAGTCTTTGTTTAATTTTGTTTTATTATTATTATTTTATTAATATTATTATTACTTAGATATAAAATTTATAATTTTAATACACTTTATTAATTTATAGTCTTTGTTTAATTTGTACTATTATTATAATACTATTAATATTATTATTCAGAAATAAAATTTATAATTTTTATAGATTCAAATATAGAATAATAAATTATATACAATATGATAGAAATGTTTGAATTATAAAAAGTTATAAAAAATTATTATGAATTTATAATAAAATTATAATACAAATATTTAAACTTCTCAAATTCTTTTATGAATTTTTTTTAATAAAATAAATCCATCACTATTTTATTAATTTAAACTTTTGTTTTGATCTTAAACATATTTTTATTTATAAAAAAAATTGATGAAATTTAATATATATAATAAAAATTAAAACGATTTAAACTTTTGTTTTCATTTTAAACATATATATAACTATAAATAAAAAAAAAAATTAAAATTAATTCTATTATTATTTTGGTAGAATTAACTTGATTAAAAATATTAAAATTTTTTTAATTTAAAAATTCGCCACGAAATTCCCATGAATTTTATCACGTGTTTCGTATGTAATCTCTAGTTTTAAATGTCACCAGCACTAGGACAACCAACAATATTGTAAAATTTATAATATGGCAACACTTATCACGATGTTTGACTTTTGCAGTTTGTGCAAAAGATAAGCGAATGAAATAAATGAACGCCATGTTGTCTTACCGGGTGAAGTCTAACGGAAAGTGACCGATAAAAATAAATGCTTGTGTGGGGTTCAGATTTTTTTAAAATTTTACCACGCATAAAATAATGACTAAGTACTATAATAATATGTATAGCAAAACGTAATTATCAACAAAAAAACTGCTAGAATGCACATAAAAGTTAATTGATTGTTGCAAAAAAAAGCCAAAAAAAAGAAAAAAACCAATACAAAAGTGTGCATACAAAAACAACACCGAAGCGCAAAAGAAAAAGAAAATCAACTTATAAATAACAAAGATATGCGTAAAGAAAAAAACTTATTGCGCATATTGTTTTAAAGTCTTTCAATTTGTCAATTTGTTGTGAAAATGAAAGGGGGAATTGTTGGTATAACGAAAAATAAAACCAAAACAAAATTTGCAATATTATTATTAAATCAAATTCACTGGGCCAAATTGAATTTTAATAACCAAAAAAAAATAAACAAAATCAAAACAAACTCAAATGATGGAAAATAAGTGCAATAAAACTCCGAATTGCAATAATAAATATATGGATCACGTTTATTGTCATTCTGGTGAAAACAGGTACATACGTTCCAATAACAATAACAATGCTAGTGGCGGTGGCAATGGTGCTACCACTGCACATGGCGACATACTGGCTCTTTTCAAGGAAAACAAACAATTAAAGTCAATGTTAATATTGCATTTGGATTTAATACAAGAGCAGACAGATCAGCTGATGGCCAAAGATAAACAAATTGAAAGCCAAAACGAAGAACTGATAGCGTTGCGTGAAAAGTGTACAGGATTCGAAGCACAAGTGCAGGATTTACAAACACAACTACAAAGACAGCTTAAACGAAATGCCGGTGGAGAAGTCTCTTCCATACCACCGCCGCCACTTGCTAAAATACAACGTGTGGGCGAACAAACTGCAAATCGAAATATTATCGGTGAATGTAATGGTAAATTAATTAGTAAAATTATATTGCATCGTGTTAATGTTAATAAAGATGTAATGCAATGTACAAACATGAGCTCTACATCAGAATCAGATGTGGATGCAGATGCAGAAGCTGATGGTGATGGTGATGACGATGAAACTGAGGATAAAACTACACAAAATGATGAAGATGACGAAGATGAACAGGATGAGGAACAAGAGGAAGAAGCTGAGGAAGCTGAAGAAGAAACCGAAGACCAAGAAGGGGAAAGCAGTAATGCTACTGAAGATAGTAATGATACATTAATATCAAAAATCAACAAAAAACAGCGCAACCAAAAACCTATTACATTAACATTAACTCGTAAAGTTAAACCCAATGTTACCGCCGTTGCGACGCCCATACCATCTTCCTCAACAACGCAGACTACTGTAACACAACCACCAAGTCGCGGTAAACAGATGCCAGTAATGTTGTGGCATGCGAATGATATGCAGAGCGATGAATCTGGTAGTTGCGAATCAGTAGCCGGCACTGAACTGGTATCCTATTTTCTCTTGCAATCAATATTTTTGTAAATTAAGTTTAATTTGTATATTGTCACTTAATTAGTTGAACTTATTTATAATGTTTTGTTTATATAAATAACATCATTATTGTTTTTGTAATTGTTTTTATAAAATTATCAAAATATGCATATATAATGTATTTTTATTTCATTTTATGTATATTATTTTCTAACATGTAACTAAATCCGAACATGTATTGATTGCATTACGTTGCAAAAGTAAACTGAACTATGTACTACAGAACTATAGATGATCAATCGATCGCAATTTTCCATATCCAAACTGTCTCTAACACAACTCAACGGCATAAATGTCGAGTGCTATGTTCAATGTATACACTGTAACGTCACTGGACAAAATACATTTTGCGTCCGTTTTACTCCTTCTATGTTCCTTTACTTCTATGTATGTACATGAAACAAAATAAAATATGTACGTCACATAACAGAGTTGTTATGAATGAACGTCCGTTTTCCTTTAAAAAAAATTATCAAATACCACTACCATTTGTAGCAAACTCGCCGAAAGTAAGAAAACAACAAATGTGCGGTACACGTTTGTACTAGTAATCTAGTACAAATTACTAAATTCGAGGTATAGCCGTCTGTATTCAACTAAAGTTGTGACATTTTTAAACAAAACAATTCTTTTTTATTATTTTTGAGTATAATTGTAATTTTATTTGTAAACATTTTAATATATATTATATATATTTATATTAATTGAAATAAACTATCAATAATATATTATTCTTACAGAATTCACCGACGCCAAGTTCTATAGCAATGCCAAAGCCACCAGCAGAACCGAAGAAAAAAGAAACAACATCGCAGGGCAAAAAGGAGAAGAAAATTCTTGCACCACCAGCTTACACCATGTACGAGATAAAGAATAAATCAGTTAATCGGTCACCGTATATATCTACGGAGCAAAGGTATTGTACACGTGAATGGGAGACAGAAACAGTGCTACGTGAATTTGAATATTTAAACCGTGATGGTACCATATTGGATTCCGATGTTGCGACTTTGGAAATACCGAAATGGTCTGAGATTGACTTAAATGTTTCCTATAATATTGAAGGTACAGAAGATTTAAGCGACGAAACTTATCTTAAGCGACATGCGAAACTTGAAGCTGATGAGAAACGTCGTAAAAAATGGGATGTACAACAAATACGAGAACAACGTCGAATCGAAAAATTAAAGCGGCGACATTGCAAGGACGAGCTTAACAATCAAACGGAACAGCAAGCCATACAAAGTTTCTATCCTAAAAGTGAAGAAGTTGAAACAATTTGTTATATAAATAGTTTACCAGTACAGGCATTTGGTGAAATGATTCCAAAATTGAATCCAAGAAAAGAATTTAAATTACCTTGGCTATCAAGATTCAGATCAAGAACCACAACTAGATCATATGCTTCGAGATCTGTAGCTACGCTTGGTACCAGCAATCTATTGGGTTATTCTGCTCAAGCACAACAACAGGTGCTAACTTCTTCATATGTGTACATTAAGAAGCGTAAACGTCAACAAAGCTCAACAACGAGGCAAAGAAATACAACGGCCAGCACGTCTAGATACGCTGCAGCTGCACAACTTTCATCTACATCCCAAGGTAAGTTGATCGCTAAATATTTAACTGCTTATTATTTAACAGAGTATAATTGTTATCTATTTTCTTAATGTTATAATTTATTTGTTAACTATATTTCTTGTCTCTACATACACGCACACACTCGACACTATGCTGCTCCTTTCAAACTACAACAACTGCTGTTATATTGTGATGTCATATTGTTTTTTATTATCATATTTCATAATATTGTAAATAATGCAATTTGGCGGGATTTTCGTGGTATTGGATGAAGACAGTGCATACATTAAATTGCTATTACAATAAGACTATTTTATACAATATGTAATGCCGTTTTCGATTGGTAAATCTGGCGAAACTTTTTCAATCGAGATTTACTTTTAATGCAATATTTATTTTCGTTTAATAATTTTAAGCGAAATGTATAACACTTGAAATCAATTTATAACATTTTGTAATATAATATAATAATATTTGTAATATAATATTTTGTCAGAGTTGCAAAATTACCCTGTTAAAATGAACAGCTGCTTTTATACTATACTATACTTTACTGGGCAGATTGTATTCATCAAAAATGTAAATATCTACCAACTCAACTACAGAAATATTAGATTGTTCTAATAGTTACTAAAAAAGATTATTTCATAGATGGTGAAGTCTGTACTTTGGTTATTTTTCTCTCTATGGCCTATGTTTTCTCTCTTAAAACGATTGAATTACTAAACTTTATTACAATTGTTTTACATTTAGGAGAACCTTACTTGGTTTATATATTGATTTCAGTAATAGAATTATAGAGAATAGTTAGTATAGAAGAGAGAATACATCTCATCACAAACTAAATAATCTATATATAACCCAGAATAACAGTTTTATTTTGGTTTAATAAAAATAAATATTTTTACTTCATAGCAAATATTCTGATATTCAATAATGAAGTAGAATGTCAAGTGTTCGGTTCGTGACATGATTTGGTAAATGGTTGATTCGTCAAGGTTGTACAACTTCTAGTTCTTTGTAATCCGAGGAGATCTATCAAGCAGATAACATGAAAGGAATTACAAATGTCTAAACATGGGTTAGGATGTAGTTGAAGGGAGAGCTCAACTGAGCTCTCATCTGATGTCATTGGGGTATCCATCTGTGTGGCACGCAGGAAAGTATTACTTGAATAGCAGTTGGTTATGCTTTTTTACAAGTAATATTTTGGTGGATGCTGCATGAATGTAACTTCTAGTCATTGGGCAGTCTTATTCCTTACTATTAATTTTTTTTATTTCTACAAAATTACATTATATTTATTGGTATATGTATTATTCTACTTGTCTTTTAAATATGTACTAAAATAATTTTTTCATTACTAGGTTAACTTTTTTTATGGATGTTTCTTGGATTTTAAAAACCCTAACTGGAACTGAAGTTGACTATTTTTCTCATAATTTTAGATGCGTACAAAATAATTCGGTATGAAATTTTTTAATACATTTGTTAAATGAAAATTTGCGTTGCAATTGCTTATAAACAATTGTGATTTGTATGGATTGAATGTATTTAAGTTTTCTTAAAATATTGTAAATAAAATAAATATATAATTAAGATTTGTTTTTGTACAAGAGATTTATGTATTATGAAATATAAATGAAATATTCACTTATATATTTAAAAATGTTTATATAAAAATATTTTCAAAATGTTTATTTATATATTTGCTTATAATTTATGTAGTATATATTTAAATTATTGTTAAAAATTAAATGTTTTTTGTAATTATATTTTTAATGTATTTAGGTAAATTATATATATTTTATATATATATATATATATATATATATATATATATATATATATATATATATATTATATATATATATTATATATATATATATATATATATATTATATATATATATATATATATATATATATTATATGTATACACACATGTATAAATATATATATGTCTTGCAACTATTTTATATTTTGATATATTTTATATACATTTATTATTTCTATATGTTATATGTTTATAATGATATTTATAACTTCTTATTATAATTTAAAATTTGTTTAGATATATTAATCTTTTGTGATACAATTTTGAACGCTTAATTTTCCTACTAAGTTTAAATTTAAATTACTTTTATATAATTAATTTTATATGTATAATTATTTCTTATACAATTAATTTTATATAATTAATTAATATTTGAAAAATCCTTTATTTTATTGAAAACTAAACAATGCAAAGCAAATGTATATTGAAAATGCGCCAACTTTTAATTAATTATTTGTAAACTTTTAGTTATATAAAAGAATGACTACATTATATTTAATATTAACAATACTTAATAATAGAATATTATTTTTGTTTGAATTTTTTTCTTCAACTGAATTTGTAACCCATATTAACACTAATATTGTAATAAATGCTATTAGAAGTGATTGATGTAATCCAATACTTTTACACTTTTATAATAGTAAGATTACATTTATTATATTACTATTACTAATACAATTTTTTTTTAATATGTATTTTATTATTTCAATGAATTAACAGTTTATTCTTACGATGTAATTAGTACAATAATTTAAAGCTTTGATAATATTATTTTTGTCATGCATTCATATACTGTGGTTATTGCCTTTCAGTTTGAGTTAGCTCAAAATTAATGCAAATCTATAAAATAAAATTTTGCACATGCTTAATAGTTTAAATTTAATATTGATTTCTTTTAAAATATTATTTTCATCTATCAAATCTTATTATTTTATTTACTGGCTTTTTTGAACAAAAATACAATTTATTTGTGCACACGAATTTAGAATATCATTGAATAAGAATATATTGGTCTATATATAGAAGACAGAATTTCCTTCTATTTCATTAGAGATTTGTTTTTAAGTATAAAAATTTGCAGGGCAATTAAGTCATCATGGTAGTCACATCCTCATTATTTCCCCAACTCATGAAATCTCCCTGATTCTCTGATCCTCTTTGTTTACCATACATTCCAATCTAATGCATGTATTCGTCTTGTAATTTTTTCATATATCCTACTCTACAGATAGTCTTGGACTACAACAGCAACAAGCCGTTATGGCTAAGTGATAAAATACAATATTATATTTGGCTGCCTGTTTAGTTGAATATTATTGTTGTTGCTGTTGTTGTAGTTCGCTGGGACCTGCTTGTTAAGACCTTTTGGGAGTTGTTGAACGGCACTTGGTCGTCGATAGCGACAAATGACTGTGGGATGTAGACACGGCCGTGCTTAGGATCCATATTATCTGGTTAAATGCTAATTGAGTTTTGGATGATTGGATTTAGAGACCAATCAGACCTTTCTTTTCTATTTAAGTAGCGCATAGGCGCTGATACGGTTATTGTACTATAAAACTCTTAACATTTAAAATCAGTCTGTGAGGGTGAAAAAAGAAATAGTTTTTAGAAGATCTTTACTTGTGGTATCCTTCAGACAAATAAGTTTAAAAAGTTCCATGGTGGAACAACTAAATTATTCCAGCATTGGATCACAATCTATTATTCGATTATTTTCATTACATTTATTGACAGCATGATTAGTAATTGACTAAAATAATAAATGAATAAGTTATATTAAATAATAATAAGTCGATTATTGAATTATACTTATAAAAGTCAGATGTACTAAGGAATATTAAAATAATTAAGTTACGGAGATGAACGAATTCAATGATTACTGTAATGATGTTGCAACGATTTAATTATATCGTAAGATGAATGAATTAAGCTATGAAATCTATATTGTGTTTAGGATTTAACTATTAAAAAAAATGAATAAATTCATCTATAAAAAATATGATTGGCTAAAGATTTAACTAAATCATAAAAAATATGTTGAACTAGGGGTTTAACTGAAACATAAAATAAAGGAATTCATCTATTTATAATGCGACCCCCTAAGGATTTAAATGAAACATAATATGAATAAATAAATCTATGAATAGTATGATTGCACTAAGGATTTAACTGAATCAGAAAATAAATAATGTACTTTATTGAAAGTATGATATATAAAATCGAATATGAATGATATAACATATAAAAAGAATAAAATGCTTAAGAATCGAATAAAGAGCATTAAGTAAATTAAGTTATAAAGTGATTTATGTAATCTGTAACAAAATGTTAAAATGAATGTCGTATGATGTGAAAGGTATTGACCACTAATGGTTCAAAAAAATCATGGATGGTTCGGTTTAACCAATAAAATAAATACTATAACAGATTAGGTGGTATACTACTTACCACCTATTAAGATTATTATTGTAAGGTTGGGTTTTTGGAAACCAAAAAACTTCTATTGAATATAATATTTCTTTAATTTTCTAAATCTGGCATGATATCTTCTTTATCTCTATTAGTAGTGTAAACTTCTTCAGTAAATAAGATAATAATTTTTAGGTATTTTTGAACATTTTAGTGGATTTTGCTGTAGATGTGTCAATGTGAAATTGTTATTATTATTATTATTATTAGTTCCATACTCCATTAGGAGCTTCAGGACTCAAGAAAAGTATTCCAACATTTTCTATTTCATGCTCTTTGTCTTAATTTATTAATCGATTTGTCAGTTTCGTGAGGTGTTGTTTTCCTCCAGGTCATTGTAGGTCTGCTCTCGCGTCGTGTTCCTTAAGGGTTCTAGGTTAGCGCAGTGTGCATGGTTAATTAATTCAATTATTTTACAGCTGGTTTATGATTTCGCTGTAATATAACATAGGAAGTGAATTTGTTAATAAAGTTTTAAGGCAAATGAACAAAAGTTAAGTTAAACTTTGGGTCAGTTGGTTAATGAAGACTGATTCTGAGCTTCAAATTTGACAGGATACGAGTTCAACACTAAGTACTCGTAAAAACTATTTACGAATAATTAAATATAAGAAACAAATCCAAGATCACTGCTGATAAGTATTCGGCAATACTCAAAACAGCTGTATGGTCAGCCAAAAATTCAATTAATTAAAAATAACAAAAAAAATGTTGCTACTATTCACTACTGTTCGAAACCTCTCTTTTATATGAAACCTAAATGATAAATTTATTTGAATTTAGTGTATGAAAAACAAAATCTTTTGAGAAACGTTATTTACTCTATGAGGGAAGGATATTAAATATGTGGACATCTGAAGTTTTGAATCAATGTATATTGTAAGATTTGCCAACACTAATCTGTGGCCAGGTTAACTCCATTGTGCTCACTAGTATTATACCAGAATTATTGCAGTAATTTTAGACTTATTGTATTGTAATTGAAGAAATTTCTATGGTTGCATCTCCTTTTGTACATGTTTCTTTTAAATTTCTGATTATAATTGCTTTGAGAGCAAATATGGAATATGAATGCATACTTTAAACTTCTTCCATAAGAAGACTTAAGTTTGTAGTGTGAAGAGCACGTTTTCATTTGTTTCTCTTCTTTGTACTCATTCGTATTATAGTAGAATTTTTGCACGAATTACAATTATATTTTTATATTTAATGAGAATTACTTCTTTACTATGGGATCCTTTTCATCCATAGCTATATAGTACATGTAGAACCTAAGTTTGTATTACGACATTCCTCCATTCTTCTCTATTTTTGGCTTTTATGTTCCAGTTGATGACATTCATATTTCTCAAATCTTGTCGAACACTCTCGCTTCATCTCTTTAACTTCACTCTCGAAGATTCAGGCTTACTATGAGATCAGGACTTAGTATTATCAGATTAGGAAATTATTAAAAATTTCATAAGCCGTAGAAAAGAAATTAAAGTGATTTAATTTTCGATGAAAACTATAATAAGGCAATGTTCTTTTACTTTGATTTTGTATGTGAAAAACGATATCACTTGAAAATGTGCTTTTAGTGTGCCATCAAGTCGCAAAAGGATCACTGTAAGATCCTTTTGTGATCAAAAATCTAAAAGGTTCATCATGATTTATTGTTTAAAAAAAATAAAAATATTATTATTAATATATTGTATGACCAATAAAACTATAACTCCGAAATATTTTTTAATTATTTGATTTGTTTCTATAGGCAAGGATAGGGAAAATATAAAATGTTAATTTTGCCTCTTTTATTTATTATTTATTTTCTTATATGTATATTACTATACTTAAGTCTTTCAATTAATTAACTTTTCTGAATATAATATAAATTTTATTTTAATTATAAAAAGTTTATTTTAATATTTAAATTACGAATTTTTATAAATAGGTATTATCATACATACATTTTAAGGAAACAATTTTCAATATTTTTATTTAAAATATACTATATGCCAACCATACACATCACCATTTCTTTGTGATAAATTTTAATTTAATTTTAATTAAAAAATTATTTATTTTTCTTATTGTAATTATTAATTGAATTGAAATATAAATATAATTTTCTTTTTATTAAGGTAATAATAAAAATAAATTGTATGTTTGAAAAAAATCTATTTTGAGATTTGATAATAAAAATTTTATATGTAACTACAGAAAAAAAAAAATAATACACATATAAAGAAATAAATTGTTATTGAAAATTTAAATAAATATAAACATATTGTATAAATATAATGAAAATTTTAAATTGAATTTTAAGTGAAAATGTTATAAACAAAATCGGTTTAGTCAATTTATGGCTGTAGTATGGTAGCCTTTGGTTTAATTAAATTCATTATAAATTTTATTTAAAAAAAAAAAACAATATATGTAACAAAAATTATTTATTAAAAAAGATTTAAAAAATTTTATTGAAACTAAATCTCTCTCTTTATATGAAAATATATATATATGTATATTATTTATATTTACAAATTTAGTTTTAATTGATTAACTTATAAATTACTTTATAAACTATGTAAATGTAATATAAAAAAAACCAAAAATTTTGAAACAATTATTGTAGTACTGTAATGAGTATGTTGTGAATGGAATGAATGATAAAGTCTATTTTTGAATTGAAAAGTGTAATTTTAAATTATATATATGTAATGTAAAAATAAATAAAATTAAAGAAAAAAAAAAGAAATTCGCTATTTTTTATTTACAAAAATAAATCTTTGTACAACATAAGTCCGCACCAGCAAATATTTGACCAATCCTCTGAGTTCTAGATAATGCTAGTCAGAGATGAGGATAGGAAAATTGCAGTTTGGTTATGGGCTGAGTTTATTATTTGCTGTGCTGTTCAGCTCTTGTAATTTAATTTTTTTAAATTTCGCATCTCTTTTAGATATACATTTTCTCTTTCTGCATAAATTTAAGAATTTTAATGCCTCCTGTTTTTCTATATATTCCAGTTCATAACATAGGATGATAACAAAGTGCTTTATTTTCAATATAAGCAGCTACAAGTATATAAGAATATATATAAAAATAATAATAATAATAATAAGAACAGAATAGAACCTAATGTGGTATTGGCTTCCAACGAAACAGAACACTCTACGACCATAATAGATTTTTTTTATTACAAATCAAGCTTAACTAAATAGAACACACCCAGCTCTTCGAATGAAACCCAAAATGTCATTAAGGGTTTTCTAACATCAGACAAGGATAAGAGTTTCCGATCTAATATTCTTCTGGCAAAGATCACAATCTGAAAGTTAGAAAGAATGATAAGAAGATTTCTTTACTTTCAAGTAGGGGCGACACTATCTTCTGAGACAGGTTCTTTTAGTTGAGATGGTAACGTAGGCTTTGTTAATTCATCAGATAACCACTAATAGCCTCATCGCTGTTCTAAGTAGTATGTTCCTTAGTTAACGAAATTTGTTCACAAACTTTTTTAATGAATCCGATACGATATGAAACTATGGATGCATGTAAAAATAGCAAAATATATATATGTTACATTAGTCATCAAAATAATTGTAAATATAGAGTTGACATATACCTGTATCTGTCTAAGAGTTCAATTAGCGCTTTCATGCTATTTTATTGATAACACAGTTATATCCAGTCTGTGTGGTTCAGGAACCTGTAGAGTTCGTTAATATTAAACATCGTCATCTCATCAAGATAATTGCAGAGGGGTTTGCTTAGATAAGCAAGGAATGTACAGAGAAAATTGTAATGACTTTTCTTACCTCTGTCGATTTGCAGCTATAGCAGTAAGTATTGCAAAATATTTCCATTCTAGCTACCTGTTCTTCAATAGTTTAAAAGCCAGTAATTATCATTAACAGTCTAAAGAAGTCACTTCTATTTCTGTTTATTATGAGATAGCGTCTATAGTGCTATAGTGTTTAACTAGTCGTACATATTGCAAGATTTTTCCATCCACAAATAGCTATATCAACATGTGTGGTACTAATAGCGCCTTCAGCCATATAACGTAGCATACAACGACGTTCTCCGTTAATCGGTTATTTCGTTTTCCTCTATATTTCGATTTCCCGAGATCCACTTTGTACCCGCCGATTTGTTTCGTGTTACTAAGTATGAAGTTGTAGTAGTTAAAGACTGGACTACAGCTTGGCTATCCGTTAATATAGCAAAGTTATTTTCAAATGTGGGGTCTGTAATAAGGACTTAGTTTCTTGGTTTAACAAAAAAAAAATCATGTGTAAGAGGGTTGTTTATTTTTACTGCTAACTGAAATTTGTATATCTTCAAATAACCATGTATTAAATGTATAAAAGATGAATAAAAGGTATCTACTTTAGCGTAATAATATCCACGGCACGTAGGAAGGTTGGAAAGAAGTTCAAGCTTTTTCAATGAGCTAGAAACCATTTTTAATTTAAATAACTGTAGCTAAATGAATATTTAACTACAATTAACATGAATTTTAGTGAGATTGAGGTACTTTTAATGGTCAATCTCAAATGTCAAAAACTTCTGTAAAATATTTTGAATTCGGACAAAGTCTCCATTAAAAAACACAATATTCGGTCATTGTATGACAGCAAAATTCGTAGTTCAAGAAAAAAGTGCTTTTATGTTGGACATTACTTTTTTATAGTTAATTTTTTTGTCGAATGTGACGCGTCTTATGATAAAAAGAAACTAGAAGGGTTCAAACAGTAATGAAGAAGCAACAAAAATATTTTATTAATTTATTAAAATCTAGCTGACAATACAATGCTCTTATGAGTATTGTCAAGAAACAGTGTTGTATGGTCAGCTAAATTTCAATATATTAATTAAATTTTTGTTGTTGCTTCTTTAATACGGTTCGAGCACTTCTAATTGCTTTTCTAAATTATTGTACTTAATCGAAAAGGAACCGGTCTAAAAAATTCAGTACAATTACGTGAATATAGTACTTATTATATACCAATCAACTTGTTGGAAATAAGGATACCAGTTTAGGATAAAAGAAATCAGTAATTATGACTTCTTCGATGATTTATTTTTGGTATTTTCAATACATTATTTAAATTAATCTAATTTTCTATATTTTCCTGATAATATATAATACATATACATATGTGGATGAAATTATATACTGCGTTTTAAGTTTTAAATAATAAATTTATTTTATAATATAGTACATAGTTTTCTCTTATTTAAACGCAATGCTGGTATACAGTACATAATACTTTAAAAACATAAACGTAATAAAAAACGACTAATTGACAGTTTGCAATGTTATTAATTGACATGACACATTTATAAGTATAATTGACAAAAACAGCAAATTTTTTCTATATATTATTATGATTCATATGTACAATTAATTATATTTGATTCACTTAAAACTTTGTATCAGATATTTATCGCCAGTTACTTGCCACATCTCATCAATGTTGTCAAGATTATTTCTCCACAATGCTTCAATAAGTTTCCAGCCCTCTTCCTGCGTTACGAGCACATATTCGTTGGTGGGATCCAGCGTATGTGTATATGCACCCATCACCAGACTTTGCGCCAAACGAGCTGCTACACAATATTTCAGATATGATTTCTCTTCCGTGCTAAGTGGGCGTATCGATGTATAACCAGCCAAAAATATGCCACCACTTTCGAGTGTCTTCGCCTGAAGCATCATATAAGTCATAGCAATACCGACTTCGAATATAAGCGGTGATTTATTGGTGTCGCCAAAATCAATTATGCCTGTGATTTTATAATCGCTTTGGCCTGGTAACTGATTCACGACAATGTTCTGTTCATTAAAATCGCCGTGTATGATTTGCTTTTCAAAAGTGTCCAATTTTGTTAATACTTCACGTTCGAAACTTTCTATAATTTCTTCAACCATGGCTTTACGTGAGTGATCTTGTAGTGCGTAAAGGAATTCTCGTAGTTGTGGTATAGATTGTAACATCCATACAGTTTTATGCGTCTCATAAGCGTCATGAGAGAAATTCTGAAATAATTAATTATCGTTAAATTTATTAGTAATTATTTCTATATATATACAATATTGTAATAACGTATTTAATAACGTATTTAAAATATTGTAATAACATTCGCGATTATTAAAGATATTACGACTAATATAGGCCCCGAGCCAGTACGTATATGGTATATATGTATATATACATTATATATAATATAAAGTAAATATGATTATAATGTGTTTAATGGATTATATGATTGTATTATAAATTGAATAAATATTAGCAATATTCACACACTCTAACATAAAGTCTACCCTCCTCCTTCTATATGGACGCCAATCATGGAACGCTGCATCAAATGTTATACATGCGCTATAAGTCTTTATTAACGAGTCCTTACGGAAAATTATTACAGTGGACTATGGTCTACCACTTACCAAGCACTAATCAAGATTGAAAATAAAAATAAAGCGCAAGTGGGACTAGATAGGCCATACTCTGCGTAGACCAATCAGTGCTACCACTAGAATTACGATCGAGTGGAACCCCATGGGTAGCCGAAGAACAGGTAGGCCTGCGCATATCTAGAGAAGACAAATGGATATAGAAGCCTCACGTAAGCAGAAAAGTTAGAAAGAATTGAAGCTATTAGCTAATAACCGTTCTGAGTGGAAATATTTTGTTTTGGCCCTATGCTCCCACTAGGAGTTAAAGGAATTTATATATATAGAAATATTCAGACTTCTGCAGAGTTTTCAAATAATTCTACGTCTGAACATAGAGCAGATGCCACAAAGAGAATATATTATTATTTGGACTTAATGAATGCATATAGCTCTATAAAGTTGCCTCAGCCTGTATATTTCTAATACTTTTTAATTAAGTAGACTTTTACGTATACTATGTTATATATGCAATGATTAAAAAATTATTACATCTAACCTAGACTAGTTAGGCCATACAGATTACTTTAATTAAAATTATAATAAATAATTAAGGTCTGATTTTAATTAAATATCTATACATCTAGATATTTATGTATAACTTACCTTCAAAGCTCTATCGATTTTTGCTATATATTCACCACTTTGAAATAGCAGATAATTTGTGATTTCAACTTGATGAAACATTTTCCCTGGTAAAAACTCTAATAATCTCACTATGTGATCAGAGCCGTTAATATGTTCCATTGAAAAGTATTTACCATTAACGTTTGACACTGGCTTTGGACACTCTACATCGTGTTTAGCTATAGGAAAATATTGAGAAAATAGCGACATTACATTGGTTATATGGTAATTGTCTGATAGATTAGGATAAGGTAAGTACTTACATAGGTAAATCATTAATTGATTTTGTGCATCAACGAAATCCGTTTTTTTGGAATCTAATGCATTTAGAACTTTAAGCACATAACCGTGAGGCCAGTGTGATATTATCAGCGGGTTTTTAATATTGCTATAAGTAAAACATATATGATATGTTATATGGATTATTGTAATAAAATATTACATATATTAAAAATTAAATTTTATTAAAATAATTTTAACAATATATAAACGATTATAATATGTTTATTTAGTTGAATAATTTAAGTCAGCTAGGTGCCTTCAAAACAAAATATATACATGGGAAATATTAGTTCAATTTAATTTTTATCAATTAATTAAAAAAATAAAATAAGTTAGTTCTTACATTAACTTGGAAGAAACCAACCAGTTTGTTAATAATGACTTTTTGGTACACGATTAGTTCATCACCAATTAACATCCTAGCATATGCACTCACATATAGTAAAAGTAATTATATTCTTAAATTAATATTCAATTAAAAGCAATTTAGTTGATTATGCCATAGAACTTTATATACTTCGCTGTTGAAAATGGTAAGATGTAAAAAATGCTTGTACATAGCATGAATATGTTTTCCTTAGCATTTTATGTTAAATGTTTATTATTATTGTTAATTAATTATCTTAATTAATTAACAATAATCTTAGTTATACGGTTGTATATGTTTTGGTGCTGTATGAGCTTTACCGTGACATTGACATAGTTAAGCGCATTAAAATTCAATGGCTTCGCACCGACTAAAAAAGTGTTTAATTCGGTACCCGTAAGTGGAAAACGCGATAGAGGATGTCCTGGTCCGCATCTTCGATGGAAGGACAAGGAAATTAACAATTTGTAGGTGCTCGGTATTACCAATTGTCGACAGCAAGCTACTAATAGAGCTGGCTGGCGAAGATTACTCAACGTGGCCAAGGACGACCATTTTCGATATTGGTCGACCGTCAGCAAACATTAAAGATACAACACATAACATACTTCTGTGGGGTTAAATACGTTAAAATAAGTTTTGAACTATCACAATTTGTTCTTCAAAAAAAAGAAGGAATTCTTATAAGCTTTTCTTAACTCTTATTACACTCGGAATATATTCGTCGAATATATTACAATCCATAAGAAATTATTTGTATTAATATATGGGTCGTCGACAAAGGTGACACTGAATCGACTGTTGATGTTATATCTAGATTTTATCCATTGGGTAAAACTTTTAGTATAGATATGTATTAAAAAGTTATTGTATTTAACAGCAAGATTCGATAAAAATATGTTTGTTATTGGCAGAGTTTTTCTTATGATAATTTCCTTGGGAAAATCAGTGCTTATTGATAAAAAAGGGAGTGATTTGAAATTAAACTTTTACATAGATTGATCTGGTTATATAAGGAGTTGTGTATGGTCCACAAGATGACAATTTAAAAGTCGACTCTTGATCATGTTAACTGAGGAGTATTGCATTGTCCTTAGGAGGGGAATTTAAAATTAGACTTTTACATAAATTGATCTGATTATTTTAAAACTTTTTAATCATGTTAGCAAAGGAGTAAAGCGTTGCCCTTAGGAGAGTAATTTGAAAGTGGACTATTACACAAATTCATGTTTTTAGCAGAGGAGTAAAGTTTTGCTCTTAGCAGGGTAATTCAAAAGTGTACTATTACGAAAATTGATTCTGTTTAGTTAGGAGTAATGCACGGATCACAGACGGCAATTTGTTTGCTGGACTTAAACGTAAATGGTCAGCCAAAAATTCAATTAATTAAAATAATATAAAAATAAATTTTTGTTGTTGTATTTCACTACTCTTTGAAAAAAACGTTTTTATGTAAATTGATAAGGTGAGCAATTTGTAGTTGGACTTGTGAACTTGAACGTAGACTTGTATGTAAATTATTTCAAGTGACGTTTCTAAATTTCAAACAATTAGAAAAACGGGTAAAAGAGTATTTTATATGTGAACTATACCACAAAAAAGGTTGCGAAATACTGGTGCAAAACATAAAGCATACACATATGAAGTAAATCTTTGTGGCATATACAAAAGCAGTTTCTTTTCAAGTCTTGTTACTAAAAATAACAATGAACAATGAATAAGAAATTAAGTAAATTGAAAATAAATAATAAAATTCAATAAGCTATATATCTGAAAACAAATCAAATATTGGATATTAATTCATTTGGTTCAGAAGGTAGGGCCACTACATACGAGTATTTGTTTGCCTAAATCTGTCTTAATCACATTGCACTTGTCGTTTGGTTTTACCGTTTAAGACCTGAAGCCAGTCACAAGTGTGAACAGTATTCCATTTATCAGTGAGGCATTAAAAGTGTAAACATTGCACAGCAAATCAAACAATCACACATACGCACACTATCCAAACATTAGGGTACATAATTTAAAAAAAAATACATAAAAAAATTAAATAAAAAATTATTATAAATAAGTAAGTCGTTCACTAAGTACTAAGTATCTCATATGAAGAGCAATGCTAGATACATGGCTTTTGTTTGTTTACCCTGGAAGAGAATTTATCTTTTTAAATTGCGAACAAACAAAACAAACTTTATCAGTTGGTTGACAGCGATTTTCGTAGCTTTTAAAAATATTTACAGAAAAAGAAAAAAATATACGAAATACAATGAGATAATATAATAAAAAAAAACTAATAATAATACGAATTGACAAATTATAAAAAATTTAATTTTAAGTTAAATTAATCTTTTCAATTTCTATGAAAGCAAAGAAATAGTAGCCATCCATCCTCTTATAAATATTTGCTTTACTAATTCAAATTAATTAAATTATTTGAAACGAAGTCACGTAGTTTTTATTTTTAAAAAATACACAAATTAGAACTTGATTTTAGACTAATTTTAAATTTAAAAATTTTGTTTACAATTTTAGTGCTTTTTATTTTAGAAAAAAACTGCAAATTAATTGACACAACATGGCGTATGCGCAACATTTTTTACTCTTCGTGGTTAGTGGAAATTTTCCACGCCACTGAAAATAATCTGTTCTTCTGTTCCATTAATATTGTTATTAATCATAGCCCCATTGCAATTTGTCATAATTTTATGATAGCGTTATGGGTCATAAAATATAGCAATGTAATATGGAATGAATGTGGGTCATAAACTATAGCCCTATAATATGTGTCATTATAATTTTGTTGAGACTAAGCTATGTGATGTTCATGGAATATATTCAATTATGAAAAGTTTTGATTCTTTTCAGTTTTTTCTAATTCTTCTTCTGTTCCATTAATATTGTTACTAATCATAGCCCCCTTGCAATTTGTTATAATTTTATGATAGCGTTATGGGTCATAAAATATAGCAATGTAATATGAAATGAATGTGGGTCATAAACTATAGCCCTATAATATGTGTCATTATAATTTTGTTGAGACTAAGCTATGTGATGTTCATGGAATATATTAAATTATGAAAAGTTTTGATTCTTTTCATTTTTCTCTAATTCTTATTTGCTTATAAATTAAAATGTGTTTTATAATTGTTTGACTTGGGCAAGCAATAACAGATAAAAGCCTATCTAAGCAACCACTTAAGTAAAAGTTGACTAAACATTTGTATTATTAGATCTATTCTATATAAAGTAATGTGCATCGGAGCATTCAAAAGCGAAACTTTCTCAATATCAAATATAACATTGCTTTATTGGTAAACTTTAAAAGCTTAATCGGTTTAAATACAGCCCAATATACACACCGCCGCTTAAGACGTTAAAAACCAATCGTACTTTGAGTTGTTTCTCCATACTAAATATTTCTCAGAAATCTATAGATAATGACTTATAAACTAAAATATGATATTTTATCTATATTTATTGGGTTGAAGTCATTTTTCTTGATACGGAATAATCTTTTCCAGGAAAATAGCTCAGAATTTTCCAGAACATTTTTTTATACTTATTTAATGATATAACCTAGATTATGCCAGGGGATGGGTATACTAGAAAATAATTTTTGTTTTTTTTGTAAAGAGGTTTCGAATAGTAGTGAATTGCAACAACAAAAATTTTTATTTATTTTTTTACAGTTATTTCGAGTATTGTAGAATATCCATCAGCAGTGGAACTGGAATTATTTCTTATATTGAATTATTTGTAAATAATTTTTTGAGACTGCAAGTACCGTTAGTTGAACTCGTACCCTGACAAATTTGAGGCTTAGAGTCAACTATCATTAGCCAACTGCTCTAAAGCTGCACTTGACTTGTATGTTTGCATGTTAAATTTCAATACTCTTTTTTTTTTTAATATAAAGTACATAACTTTTGGGCTGTGTTTTTCACAAAAGACCAGATCTATGCCTTAATTTCGTTCTTCGATACGCTACGTTACTCATCAACCGTATTTATCACTAATATGTCGGTTGAAAATTTTTGGATAACTAAGTTGATATCAATACCGAGAATTATCGTTATAAGTTTAAGGAATAGTTAGAAATCTCAGGCAGCTTAATGAAAAGATTACGGCAGATAGTACGGCATAAAAAGGATGCCTTTATGGCCAAAAATTCACGTAATATTGGGAATGGTGCGATGGTGCATTATAGTGCACAACAAATAACTGCCTGACACTTGATATTTCGATCGAACTCAATGAAGTCTGGCTTATAATCATTGTCAAATTACTAGGTAATATTCTGCGTTCACCAGCTTGGATGAATTTACTAAGAAATATCACAAAAGCTGTCAGCGTTGTCTGTTTTCTTGCTTTTTTTAAAGAGTAATTTTCTCTTCTAGTTTTGGTTCTCTTCGAGATAATCACATAAGTAATATTCTTAATAGTTTTACGCTCTTTTTGGTCATGATCAAAAAATATGATATATAGAGAATCAATTTCATACTTTCACTACTATTTCAGTATGATTTTTTATGTGCCTAAATTTAAAAGATATTTTTTATTTATATGTAGTTCCTATTTAAGACCAATTCTGTAATACTTCCAATTCTTAATGATAGCGATTGGTGCTACACTAAAGTGGAGAAGCATACATTGTGACCGAAAAGTTTCCGGTCACAATGTACAAACGCAAAATTCTTAATCTTCATCAATATTTATTTTATCTCCTTCAAAATATGCTCCATTAGAAGCGATACACAAATGCCAACGTTTCTTCCAATCATCAAAACATTTTTTATAGGCGCTTTCCGGTATGGCTTTGAGTTTCCTCTGCGAATTCTGTTTTACGTCTTCTATGGATTCAAAACGCGTTCCTCTGAGTGGTAATTTGAGTTTGGGAAACAGGAAAAAGTCACACGGTGCAAGATCAGGTGAATACGGGGGCTGTTCGATGGTATTTATTGAATGTTTGGCCTTAAAATCGTTGATAATGTTGGCTCGGTGCGAGGGAGCATTATCGTCATGAAAAATCCATGAATTATCCTTCCACAATTGAGGCCGTTTACGGCGGATATTTTCACGCAAACGTCTTAAAACAGTCAAATAATAGGCTTTATTGACTGTTTGTCCTTCAGGGACGAATTCATGATGCACCACACCACGAATATCGAAGAAAACAATCAGCATTGCCTTGATTTTCGAGCGACTTTGGCGTGGTTTTTTCGGTTTCGGCTCGTCTTTTCCTCTCCATTCCGATGATTGTTGGCTTGTTTGCATGTCGTACTCGTAGACCCATGTCTCGTCACCCGTTATGATGCGTTCCATGAAAGTTGGATCGGAATTGGCACGATCAAGCATGTCTAACGAGACCTGTCCACGATGGTGTTTTTGGAACAAATTGAGGTGAATCGGAAAAAGCCGAGCGTTGACACGTCGCATACACAAATTGTCCACCAAAATCAAACGAGCCATCTCACGACCGATGCCTAGCTCTCGTGCTATCTCTCTAACACTCACATGAGGATTTTTGAACACGATTTCCTTTGCCTTTTCAATGTTTTCGTCGGTGGTAGAGGTCGAAGGTCGTCCAGAACGCGGCATGTCTTCGACGGTCGTACGACAGTCCTGAAAGGCTTTGTACCACTCATAAACTTGAGTTTTCGATAAAACTGATTCCCCATAAGCCTTTTGTAGCATTCGCAACGATTCTGCACACGAAAATTCGTTCGAAACACAAAATTTGATGCAAACTCTTTGATCAATATTTTTTTCCATTGTTTTTTTCGCAACGCACTACTGAGGTGAACTGGTTTCAACAGCTGCCGTAAACGAACTGTCTGACAGATCGCGCTCATTTTTGGCATAGTAATTAAGGACAGTGCTGCCAAACTACATAAACTTAAAATATCGAAAAATATACAGCGCGCGAATTTTAAATGAGAACTTCCGAAAACCTTTCGGTCACAATGTATGCTTCAACAAAATCTTTAGAGAGTCAGTTTAAGCTCCTGAACTCCTGAAACAGATGATAATGAACAGTAGAGGAGGAAATGAATATAATATTAACTGGTATATGCAGTGCTTTATTTAGGTATCTTCCCGCAAATTTGGAAAATCGTAGTTATAGTAGTCTTTCAAATCTGAAAAAGTTCTTTCTTTGCGTAGAAATTGGATGCTTTTAAGTTTTTTGCTTGCTAATGGTAAAATAGAAAAAAAAATAAAATTGGCAAGACTCAAAAATATTGGTATAACTTTAGTTATCATTTCCAAACAATTCGAATTCCCACAAAATTTTTTCATTGAACTCCAGCTAGCAAGAGTTTCTGAAACTATAAAAAAAGCTGGAATGGTCTTATTTGATATAGCTAAGCCTATAACGAAGAGAGTTCTCTGTTAAAGTTCAAAATCACTTAATTCTAAAAAGAACATTAGAGCGGGCGTCCATCAAGGATCACCATTGTTTCCTTTATTGTATAATTTATATACAGCAGATTTTCCTTTGGAATCTATGAATAATCTATAAGTTCCCTTTTTGTTGGCGATACGATACAAAACTGATAATTTTATTATAAACCTCGAGAGTTGAGAGTGTGCAAAAGTAAATCAAAGACTGGGCTAGGCTTCAAATTATACTTCTGTAAATCCACCTGAATGATCCATGATCAGAATTCAATGCAGCTCATGTTACAGTGAATCACTCAAGTGATCACAGATATTATTGAGAAAAAGTTTTTTAACAAGCTAAGAAGCTTATTTATCTACACAAAAATATAAATGCTTTTCCTAAAGACTCTATTATTATATACCATATTTCCATTTGACTCATTTAGACAGTTTATATTATTAAGACTTCTATTGAGGATAATTTGTCATACAAAGAGCTTCCATATAAGTGAACTCATTTTCGCTTATAAATCAACCGATTTAAATGCAACCCTTATAAATAAATTTCCCTCAAGGAAAATTACCAAAATTTAACATATGTTTGATATGTAAAATGCAAACAAACAAGCTATTTCACATACGTAAATCAGCTTATGCCAATGGGAACGACCAAATCTGAATTTCATTAACATAAGTAGTTTTAGCTGCAGTTTTACGAAACATGATGTTAAGCATTACAGTAATGAATTGGATAATTAATTATGAAAATTTTAATTTCGTTAAAATGTTACATACAAGTATTATAATTTAAGCTTTAGGACTTAGTAGATAATTAATTTTTTAATTTTTTAATTATTTAATCACTTAGTCACTTATTTTTTTTAATTATTTCTTTAATGCCATCGGATGTAACCCCAAGTCTAGAGGGTTTAATGTGATAAACAGAATCATACACATAATAATTTATGAGTATACATAAACACAAGTGTACACATAGATTTACAATGTATATAGTGAATTCGTTTTATTTTTGTTTAATTAACTCAATACTATTAGCATTGTTTTATTAATTAAACAACCGAATTATTTTTAAAATTGGTCACGTTTAAATGATTTCGTAATTTGTCGCAGCGAACTGTTCGTATGAGGTTGCGTATTCAATGATAGTAAAAATTACTAATTAAGTTAAGAGTTTTGACAATAAGTCACTAAAACTGTATAATAGAAGATGTTATAGATTTGAATTTTTTTTAAAATGTATATCAAATATTTTTATATAATTCATAATTAAAATTAATTGAAGTTTTTCCTCTACCACACTTTACTTGTTTATTATAAACATTTATCAGTAAAATTATTTTAAAAAATAAAGAAAAACCATTGTCATTTCTAAAGTTTTAATATCTTTAATATATTAGTCTAAAGTTACAAATAAATTATTTGTAATAGAAAGTTATTTTAAAGTTAATCTGTTAATATTGATTGTAGATGTGACGAACTTTGTGCAACTCTAATAGTATGTTCCCATTGCCTTCATTAACGCGGTTTATTTGATTTAAGTCGTTAATGAAATTTGATTAACTATACTAAGAGATTTTGTACTTTTAAACTTAGTTAAGAATAAATCAAGAGATTTTAAACCAAAATTGTCGAATGCAACATTGCAAAATATATATATTTGATTGGAATACAATATCATATATTATTAAACAAAAAATATTGTTAGATACCGTATCAACTGAAATGTGAACAAACAAAACTTCCTCTAGATCTTTTAAAGAACTTTCTGACATATAAAAGCTTTTTCACATGCCTAAATCAACTTATGCCGATGAAAACAATCAAATCTTAATTGGATTAACATAAATTAATTTAACTGCAGTGGGAACATGGTGTTAGATAAAAATTTCATTACTCCTTGGCTTATCTCTATTGAGTCAATACACAACAACTCAAAAATTTTACTTATTAAGAAAAAGATGAACAAGCTTAGTGCATGATGGGGATCAGCTCAAAGGAATAAGTGTTATGGTCACTAAATTTGAAACGTTATTTATGATTGTTAATTTAAAACGGCTCTTGACTGATGAAACATGACGTGAATTCTTTGCAAATAAGTACATATTTCTTAATTTGCAACATAGTAAGCTTTAGCTATTATGCGACTACTTTCAGTTTCGTCAGTCAGCAATATATCCTTGAAGTTAAAAAAGAAAAGCAATTCCCTCAAATGTTCACTATCTCGATTGACAATACAGTCGGGATAGTAACACTTTTATCTTTTCCTATTAACTGCTTTCATTGTTTTTTGGTCTCCGTTTCACGTTTCATTAATAGTTATAAATCTACCCAAAAAAACAATTTTGTCTTGCTTAAACCATTTTATCAAAACTCTAAAGATATTAATGCGATTCTATTATAAGTCCAAGATCAGTAAATTTTACGAGTAGTTCGTGGAACAGACTTAATGTGTAAATACAACAGCTGATTTTTAAACTCAGTTTAAACTGGTTAATTTTTATAAAAGTTTTTTTAAGCTGTATGATTTTTTTTGTTAGCAATATTAATATTCTTTAAAGTTTTTTGATATAAATAAATAATTTATGCTGATTATGTATTATAACTTTGGAACGGACTATACTATATATCTTTGATTCCATTCGTTCACATTTAAACATATTTCATCTCATTTAGTTTATTAATGTAATTAATTAATAATTATTGATTATGTATTTTTAAAACGGTTTATAGTGTACTTCAATATATCTCGTCTAATTTATTATTATTTTCGATATGGGAATAGTTCTTATTGGCTTGAATTAATTTGAGATCTTATTCCACTTATAAGTATATATTTTTTAATATACATTAACTTAAAGACTTACCGATCTTCTTGTATGTAGTAGTTCCTATCGTCATAAGAAATAATTTCCTTTATTTCACTAGTGGTAATGCCATATAAACGCCGTACCAGTCCCTCAACAATGGATACGTCAACTTTGGGTTTAATATCCGACCCCGGTTTGAGTACTGCACTCTCGTTGGCATTCACTGGAGGGGCATCTGAACCATTCTCGCTACCATTCGTATTATTCGCATCGATGTTGTTGTTCTTGGTTGTTTTCGGTATACCATCATAGGCGTGATTTAATGTGTATGATTTCTTGGAAAGATCATTTAACTCCACATTATTCCACTTTTCCATATTTTCATCAATTCAAGATTCCTCGTCTTAGTGCATTAATTTATATCTCGCTTCGCATCCAGAGCTGTGTAAAACCTGAAAGAGAAAAATTAAAAATTCCATAAGTAAATTAAGTTTACCTTGCGGCTTATTGGTGGGGTGTTTAGTGAGTAAATTTAATTAAATTACATTAACTGAATTTATGCTTCTGTCGGCTGTGTCGGCAATGTCGGCTATGTCGGTGTGTTCGACGTGCGTGACGACTTGCTTGCTCTTCACAGTTGATTGCTTGACAGTCACATCAAAAATGAAATTATTTCTATGCAGTTTTCGAGTTGAACTTCATTACAAATTCTTTGAATGAATGTAACTCACAGACACCGACACAGATACGTACTAAAACACATTCGCAGATACACTTACTGTACCTGCATGTCTGCGTTGTTGTGTGTGTGTGTTGTGTGGCGAGTAAATTTAGTTTTATTTTTGATTATTTTTTAGAGATACTATTATTTGTTTAAATTTGTTTTTTATATTTTTTTTTTATTTAAACTCTTTTTTTTAGAATTTTTGTTAATACCATTTTTAGTTCGTTCAAATTTATATTTAAATGTAAATGTGTGCAGTTGTGTTCGAGTTTATTTGATATTTTCTTACTGATTTCGTGATCCACAGTTTAGGCATTATTATTTCATTTGTTATTATTTATTTACTTCGTTTTTTTTTATACCCTTCACAAAAAACATTAGAAAGCGGTACATTAAATTTTTAGCAATATTTGTATATCAATGTAGATCAGAGACATGTATAGACATTATAGAAATAAAAAAAAAAATACATAAATTCTTATTCAGTTTTACGAGAAATATGGATCTAGCGGTTTCTGTCTGCCTATACACCCGTTTCAGGCCGTGTGCGAGTTAAAGTAAATTGATGGTAAATTGAGGGAAATAGTAAATTATGTCGGTATTGCAGTGAATGTTAGTATTTATCAGAATTTCGAATTTAACCTATTTGAAATTCTGATTAGATAAAAATTAGGTAAATTATACCTATATACATATATTTAATATAAATAATTAAATAAATTTAAAAACTTTTAAGCAAAAATAATAAATAACTGGAATAAATAAATATTTACATAAGTGCAGTGCAAAAATCCCTAAGAAATTTCAATTTACTTTACCCCAATTTACTCGAACTCGCACACGGCCTTAATACAAAATTTATTTTCAACTTTTTAGTATAGATGATAATTATTGAATGCAATCCCTTTATAAGTATTCTTGCTGAGGATTATTAAAAATGTAGTCACTTGATTTTGGTTGTGCTGACAAGCTCTCAAAGACTGTTTTCAAAAAGTCTGTTTCTCTAAGAATCTATACAGTTCGACTAAAATGTTCCAATTTGGCCTATTTATTGCAGCTAAAAACTCTTCGGTAGAGTGTGTTATCTTAGAATAGGACACATGGTCAGCCAAATTTCATTAAATTAATCAAATTTTTGTACTTGTTGTTTCTTCATTACTCTTCGAACCCTTCTAATTTTCTTTTCGCCATAAGACGTGGTATCACATTCAACAAAAAAAATGTACTTTCAAAATTTTTATTTTTTTATTAATTATTAATTTAATTAATTGAATTTTTGGCTGACCATACAGCTGTTTTGGGTACTGCCAAATACTTATTATCAGTGGTCTTGAAATCATTTTTTATATCTAATTATTTGCAAATATTTTTTTAAGACTGCAAGTACCAAGTGTTGGACACATGCCCTGCCGAATTTGAAGTTTAGTGTCAATGTTTATTAGCCAACTGACCCAAAGCCGTAATTGACTTATATTGTAATGTTTCAGATGTATGTTCCTAAAAATAACTTTTTACATTTTTTATTAATATTTTTTTTATTAAATTTCTATATAAATTCAATTAAATTAAACTAAATATGACTATCAAAAATTTTATTATTCATATTTTTATTGATAAAAACACATAAACTAAATTTTCTAATATAAACATTTTTTATTTGTTAAGTGTTAATAACTGTGTATGTAGGGTATTTTAATTCCAGTAAAGCCAAAGCTAATTCTCACATATTTTCTCAATATATTCGCTTTAATATTTTAAGTAGTTACTAATTCTTACTCATTAAGCAAGTAACAAAATTTGAGTATTTTTTTTATATATTTGGATATTATTAACAATTGAAATCATATAAGTAAACTATTTTAAGTATACCACTTTCAACTACGCTTTGTATCTTAATGTAATTATTTAAAAATTTTTATTGCAAAATATGACAAAATACATATCGATTATCTCCACGAAAAACACCGTAAGTTACATCACATTCATATGGCTCTACAATTCAAATCAGATCTTTCCCTATATTAGGGTTTGATTTACCTTACTTTATTATTTTTTGCAACCGCCCTTTAATACCTAGCATTTATAACTATTGTTCATTAGAACAATAGAAAAGCCATCCTAATTGATAATCGGACAGCAACCAAGGCATGCAATACTTATCAAGCGATATCAAGACTGTTGGTAGAGTGTTTTAAAAAGCTAAAGATACTTGACTAGAATTATCAGATATGGATTCTATGAGTTCAGGATCATGGTGTAAGTTGCACATAAATTTGCAGAAACGGGATAACCTCGCTGCCTTTGTGCATGAAATTATTATGTGGCTTATGAGGAGGAATTTGCTTTTCAGAAAAAAGAGTAGAAACAACGAAAGCTATGCTGAGATAATATACAACGCCTAACATAATTGAAATCGTTTATAGGGCCTTTCCCTCTAAAACAACTTAACGATTGTATACAACAAAATAAAATCAATTTAAGAATATTACAGAAATTCTGATAGGACACTGTTAGTTTAACTACCACATAAAAAAACTGGGAAGTTAGTCTGATGAAATTTGTCAATTTTTAAAGGTGGATAATGATGTCTCAAAACACATAGTACAAGTTTGTCTGGCACTGATGCATAAATTCTGTAATCAAGGTTCAATACTATAATTTATAAAGAAATTTGAACTTAAAGAAATGCTCTAAGTAAATTATGAGGAAACAGAGACCTAAAGATCTGTTCTTTAGGTCTCTGTGCAAATTCCCCCAACGTTATATTAATAATAATAATTATTCATTATTTATAAAATCTTTTCATTCTACTTGCGTTCATTCTCTACTGCAATCTAAAAAGCGCGTTGCAAATATCATATTTTGTGATTGGTAACCATTACTTGATCTGATTATGTATCAGACGAACTTTCATCACTTGATTTATACTATAGCTACTGTCTTATAAAAGCTTTCCAACTCGTCGTTGTATCAGCATTTCTAAATTTCATTTTCACTTACTGGTCTATATATCTTTCAACGTAAGTGTTCATTTTTTTATGCCATTTTATTATTGTGAATAAAAAATTAATTATTTAAATAAGGATTTTATTTTTAAATTAAATGTCTAAATTATTTGCTAAAATTAGAAATTGTCATTTAAACATGTTGATCATTATAACCCTCTGAGGTCTTCAAAAATTTTATCGCTTTAAATGACCTACTCAAATTAGTCGTTGCGGTATTGTGATTATTATAATTTAATAGCTATCTTCTGTATTCAGAGTTCGTCAGCACCAACGACAACTTCTACCTAACATTTTTATAGGGCAATATATTTTTTACAGTCGTATAAAATGTCTTACATAAATTTAATATATTTTTAACATTACAAATTAAATTAAATTTGAAATACAAAATTAATAAAACATTAAATAATTTTTTAAATGAAGTATATACAATAAATAAATTTATTAAGTTATAATTTTTTATATAAAAAATTTTAATATTTAATCAATATCTAATTAGTTACATTGACTAAAAACAGCTCTAGAACCAAAGCTATTTAGATTATTTATTTGACTAATTTTTTTTTTATCCTGCTTTAAAATATTCTATATCTGTATTAAATTTTATCGTGTCTAAATTTTTCTGAACAACTTAAATGTTTAAAACAAACACACACTCTATATAACACATAAGACTTTTTGGTATAGTACAATATAATATAATATAGTATCTAGTATAGTATAATAACTAGACATCATCTTCTTTTAGTGTTACGTGTATATCAATTCAAAATCAATTAATTAACATTATTTTTTTTAGTTTGTATTATTTATAATATATGTACCACATATACTTGAATAAACAGGACGGACAGACATACGATAGAATAATCATACCTTTCATATTATTTTATGTAACAATAAACAGGGTGTCTTATATTAAAATAATATAAATAAGGCAGGCAGATTTATTTCTCTTAAAAATAAAAAATGTTTATGTATCCATTTTTAATATAAATTGAGATACGGGTTAGTGGAATGCACATGTTTGTACTAAGGACAGGGGTTCATAACCACTAAGGTGGATATGGACCTACGAGGGTGACGGAACTCCAATCTGACAGTTGGACGACTGAAGATCTGGACGCTAACACAAATAAAAAAATTGACGGTCACTACACTACAAATACTTATTTTTAAAAAGTTCTGTTTACTGCGGAACAGGTTTTATATTATGTTTATTAGAAGATATAATGTTCCACTGCAGTGATATATTAGTAGTAAAAAAATATAGATCACAATCATTATGAAATCTTTATAAGCATAAATAGTCAGATAGAATTAAGTAAGTATCCAACTTCAATTAAAGTTGGATCTATATAACTAACGTATATTAAAAGCCACTTTTTTTTTATTTGATAATGAAGTGCTATTCGATATAACATGTGCATATTTTGTACTGAGTGTTTTCTCAGAGTGCTATATATATCCTCTTATTATAGGCTTCCAGATCACTGTAGTATTTTTCAGGAAATAGTGACTGTCATAAATAAAGTTTTAGCTTGTCTAGAAGAAGATAATATACTTGAAAGGAATATATACATACTATCGGACAGTCAAGTTGCTTTAAAGTCCGTGAGTTCAGTCCAATTTACATCTAGTATATTGTTTAACTGCTTTGACACATCTCTAAATGAGATGTCGACGCAGTTCAATGTTTTTCTATACCGGGTTCTCCGTTCTAGGGATTTTTTCAGCAATTGCAAAGCAGACAAGTTGGCGAGATGAAGTGCTTCAGGACACCACTCAGAACACCTAAATAATCTGGGCATATCGTTGACATTATGCAAACTGGCACTGAATTCTTCCTATGTCGAATTTTTTAAACAAAGATGGGAAGACTCAACGATATTCAGGTATCTGTATGCAATTTAGCCACGTTCTAATAAAAGAACATCAAACTCTCTCATGGAGAGACCTATAAGGTTTACTTTTAGGTCATTATATTTTAG